ATCAATAAATGTCGTGTTTCTCATGGAATGTGCGTGGTTTCAACAAATCTATTAAACATTCCGTAATTCGTAGTTGGATAAACAATGAAGATATGCATTTTGGCTGCTTATTGGAGACTAGAGTCAAGGAAAAGAAGGTAGCTCGTATTATCTCATCGGGTTTTCAAGATTGGTCATTTATGGCAAATTATGAGTTCAATCGGTTAGGCCGCATTTGGGTCCTCTGGAGATCTACTGTACGTATAACTCCGGTATTCAAAAGCGATCAACTCATTACATGTTCTGTTTTAAGAGAAGGAGCGACGGAGGAATTCTTTTGTTCTTTTATCTATGCAGAGAATTTAGTAGAAGAGAGAAGAAGTCTATGGGAGGATCTGAGAAATCATCATGACTCTCCACTGTTTAGAAATAAAGAATGGATACTCATGGGTGATTTTAATGAAATTCTTGATGGAGAAGAACATTCTGGCTTTGGTCACACTACTACTCTACCCCCGGGTATGAGAGAGTTTCAAGATGTTGTGCGATACTGCGCATTAACAGATATGGGTTCGCATGGTCCTTTATACACTTGGTGTAACAAGAGAGATGAGGGTTTGATTTGTAAGAAGTTGGATCGGGTCCTCATGAATGACACTTGGCTCCATAGACATCCGCAAACTTATTGTGTTTATGAAGCAGGTGGTTGCTCGGATCACCTTAGAAATCGAATTCAGCTTGACATGGGAACACCTGCAAAAAAGAAGCCTTTCAAATTTGTTAACTCATTAACAACTATGAAAGATTTTCTACCTCTGGTACAGTCTTTCTGGGATAATACGGCGACTATTTTCCATTCCACTACAGCTATGTTTCGTTTCTCCAAGAAACTTAAAGAGTTGAAGCCTTGTATCAGAAACTTAAGCCGAGAGAAATTGGGAGATTTAACAAAGAGGAAACAATCTGCATATAAAGAGCTATGTGACAAGCAGGAAATGACGCAAATGAATCCGGTAGACACTGTGTTTAGAGAAGAAGCAGAAGCATATGAAAGATGGCAACACATCGCTGAGCTAGAAGAGGGGTTTTTAAAGCAAAAGTCAAAGCTCCATTGGCTTGACATAGGAGATCAAAACAACAAAGTTTTTCATAATGCAGTTAAACTCCGTGAGGTAAAGAATACATTAAGAGAGATTCAACGGGATGATGGTTCAATTGCTTCCACTCAAGAGGACATCAAGCATGAAGCAGCCTCTTTCTTCTCGAATTTTCTTGATCAAATCCCTAGTGACTATGAAGGTATCACGATAGAAAAATTGGAATCCTTGCTGGACTTTAGATGCAGTGAAGAAAACAGAACTATGCTAGAAAAAGAGGTCACGGATGAGGAGGTTCACAAGGTCTTATTCTCAATGCCTGCAAACAAAAGTCCGGGTCCAGACGGTTACAGCAGTGAATTTTTCAAAAGTGCATGGCCAGTGATAGGGAAAGATTTTACTGTGGCAATACAATCCTTTTTCACAAAGGGGTTTCTTCCAAAGGGTGTCAACTCTACTATCCTTGCTCTGATCCCCAAAAAAGAAGAAGCAAGAACTATGAAAGACTATAGGCCCATCTCCTGTTGCAATGTCTTATACAAAGTGATCTCGAAGATTATGGCAAACAGATTAAAGGGTTTACTCCCGGAAATCATCTCTCCAAACCAAACTGCTTTCGTGAAGGATCGTCTACTCATGGAGAATGTTCTACTAGCTTCTGAATTGGTGAAAGATTACCATAAAGAAGACATATCACCTCGTTGTGCGATGAAAATTGATATCTCAAAAGCATTCGACTCGGTTCAATGGTCTTTCTTGCTCAACACGCTCCAGGCCCTAAATTTTCCCGAGAAGTATATTCATTGGATTCGGTTATGTATAACAACAGCATCATTCTCTGTTCAAGTGAATGGTGAGCTTGCGGGGTTTTTTGGAAGTAAAAGAGGTCTACGGCAAGGCTGCGCCCTTTCTCCTTACTTGTTTGTGCTATGCATGAATGTATTGTCGCATTTGATTAACAAAGCGGCGGTAGAAGAAAGATTTGGTTATCATCCACGATGTCACAGTCTTCTTCTTACCCATTTATGTTTTGCAGATGATCTCATGGTATTTGCTGAAGGGAGTAAGCGATCTATTGAAGGAGTCATCTCGATATTTGACGAGTTTAAGAGATACTCGGGTCTGCAAATTAGTCTTGAAAAGTCTACTCTGTACATGGCTGGGATACCGCAACAAACGCAAGATACCATCAGGATGAGCTTCCCATTTGAATCAGGTCACCTACCGCTAAGATATCTTGGGCTGCCACTGATGACTAAATCAATGACGAGTCATGACTATCTTCCTTTGATTGAGAAAATCAGAAACCGAATAAGCACTTGGACGACGAGATTTCTATCATATGCAGGGAGACTACAACTGATAAGATCTGTTATCACAAGTATCACGAACTTCTGGTCCACTGCTTTTAGGCTTCCCGGAGCATGTATGAAGGAGATAGAGAAGATATGCTCTGCTTTCTTATGGAGCGGTCCGGAACTGCGGAGTCACAAGGCTAAAATATCATGGGAAGTAGTTTGTCTCCCTAAACGGGAAGGAGGTTTAGGGCTACGACCACTAAAGGAGATAAACAAAGTCAACAGTCTAAAGCTCATATGGAGGTTACTCGCAGGGAAAGCATCACTTTGGGGACAGTGGATCCGGCAATACCTTATGCGACATAAACCTTTCTGGACTATCAAAGCATCACCAACTCAGGGCTCATGGATGTGGAGAAAGTTACTCAAGTTAAGAGAGACGGCTAAAGAGTTTCACATGATGAAAATACAAAGTGGAAAGAACACATCATTCTGGTATGACCACTGGTCCAGCCAGGGGAAGTTAGCAGACGTTCTTGGAGGTAGAGGATGCATAGATCTTGGAATTGTGAAGCACGCAACGGTGGAAGACGTCTTAACCACTCACCGGAGCAGACGACACCGAGTGGAGACCCTTAAAAAAATAGAAGCAGAGATTGTGGAACTGAAAACAAGTAGGAAACAAGGAGTTGATGATGTACACTTGTGGAAATGTAAAACAGGTTTCAAAGCACAGTTCTCAACTCGTGAGACATGGAAGCTGCTCAGAATTGGAAGACCAACATGTGATTGGGCCAACGGCGTGTGGTTCTCCCAAGCCACACCAAAATTTGCTTTTATCACTTGGCTTGCTATGCACAATAGGCTTTCAACGGGAGACCGAATGGAGAAATGGAATACCCGCGTCAACACCTCTTGCATCTTATGTGGAGGACTGCTGGAGACAAGGAACCACATCTTTTTTCGTTGTCCCTATTCTGAACAAGTTTGGGAGAAACTCACCAAAGGTCTACTAAGCAATCGCTACAGTTCGGACTGGGCACAAATCCAAGCCCTCATCTCAGGCACAACGCTAGCTCAACAACCACTTCTGCTCTTAAGATACACTCTTCAAGTTTCAGTTCATTCGATATGGAGAGAAAGAAATAACCGTAGACATGGCGAAAACCCCTCACCAGCCATTCTCCTTCACAAGTTCATCGATAAAACAATCCGTAATCGCATAACCAACCTTCGAAACATGAGGACAGGAAAATATGAGGATCTCCTCACGTTTTGGTTCTCTTCTCGTATTTAATGTATCCATCATAAACTCTATATTTCCATTCAGCTAAGCCACACTTGTTGTAACAAAGGTTTTTGATGAATAAAAATTTAACATTCATTCAAAAAAAAAAAAAAAAGATTGTTAGGGGAAAAAACCCGGAAAAACCGCCATCTATTTTTTTTTTGGCCGTTTAATACATATGTTTTTAAATTTGGAATAAAAATACCTCGTTTAATTGTTGTTGTCTTTTAAATTCTTTGTTTTTTAAATTTTGGTAGATTCATACATCCGCGTTAACGGCTGTTAACGATGATAACGGAATCGTTAACCAGAGTTAAAAATTAACCCATAGTGTTTACGTATATATATACAATCTCTTTTCAAACGTGTACGAAGATATTATCTTAGTCTGTTGGTTAAACGTGGGATAGAATATCTTTTGGGCCTGAGTTCGAGTCCTACCTTGGATTTTTTAGGCGTTTTAATTTTTTTTTTTTCTTCTTGTCGTTACTCAGATCCGGTTAACGATTCAGATGAAGAAGAGGACGATTGTGCTTATCGATGACTTCAGATCCTAGATTAGCTTCCGATTTCGCTTGGATTATCTTCGATTTCGTCATTCCGAGCATAAATACGCGAAGCTTAATGGCAGATTTTCCCATTCTCTTCTCTTTGATTTCTTCGTTGTTGCAGAAGAAGAAATCTGTTCAGATTTTGGTTCCAAAATTGTTGAGATGGTATTGGCTTTCATTGGTGATGGACTCGTCTTCTTTTGTGTTCTTTTGGTGTCCACTCCATGGTTTAGCTTAAGGTGGTGGTTCTGGTGGATTTTGCCGGCGGAGTAACGAGAAGAAGAAAAGAAAAAAAAAATCTTAAAGAAAATTAAAAAAGCTGCAGATCTGGGTTTCGAACCCTAGTTCTATGGGCAGAAAAACAGACCACTCACCACCAGACCACGGTAATAAATACCTAAATAAAGTCAAACATGTTTTATATACCTATTTAAATACGTGGGGTTAATTTTTAACTATGGTTAACGATTCCGTTACCATCGTTAACAGCCGTTAACGCGGATGTGTGAATCTACCAAAATTTAAAAAACAAAGAATTTAAAAGACAACAACAATTAAACGAGGTATTTTTATTCCAAATTTAAAAACACACGTATTAAACGGCCAAAAAAAAAATAGATGGCGGTTTTTCCAGGTTTTTTCCCGAGTGAAATCATACGCTAATAAAACCATACCGTCAGTATAACGAATGAACTATTCCTTTTTGAAACTTTTCTTTTTTTTTTTTTTTTTGGCCGGTGAATTTTCCTTTTAACTTTTGTTGTCGGTAATTTTCCTTTTTTTTTGTTCATTCTTGTAGTATATAACAGGACAATAATTCACAATTAACCGTGGGTGAAAAAAAAAATCCAATTAACGTTAAATCTAGCCCTAATCTTTTCTAAGAGAGAAGAGACTCTGTTTTGTATCAATCATCGATCAATTCCAACTCTAAAAGATGCCTAACACTCAGACGACGAAGTCGTTGTGTTTGGACGGTCTTAGTGATCGCGAAATACTTGAGTATAGGTATCGATCGATTGTTCTTTGTAAACTTTTTCAAAAGTTTTTGCCCGATAATCTCGACTATATGTTTTTTTTTTCTCCTGGATTTTCAGATTGGAATGGGAAGGTTACACCGAAATCAAGATGAAAAGTGATGGAAATTGCCAAGTAATTAATGTTTCTAAATAAAATTATACTCAATCAGCTTGACATATATATTGAATCATATTATGAATAACCCTTTTTCTTGTTTCTGTCAATTCTATTTCAGTTCCGTGCTTTAGCTGATCAACTTTATCAAACCTCGGATTGTCATAAACGTGTTAGACAAGAAATCGTAAAACAGGTAAATCTATCTTGAAACTTTTCCTAACTTTGCCGATTCTTTTTTTTTTTTTTACGTGTATTAATGTCATATGATGATGATTATGAGTTTTGGATAATGATTGATTGATGAATCTGTTTTCTCATGATCAGCTTAAATCTCATCCAAAGATTTACAAAGGGTTTGTGAATAATATGGACTTCTCCCAGTATGTAAAGAATATGTCCACTAACTCCGAATGGGGCGATGAAGTCACATTGAGAGTCGCTGCTGATGTGTATGGAGTCAAAATAGTACTCATTACATCAATCAAACTTACTCCATTCATGGAGTTTTTGCCCAAGTCTCAAAAAGAACCCGACAGGGTCATTCATTTGAGCTATCTCGCAGGGATCCATTTCAACTCCATCCACAAAAAAGGAGGTTAACTTTCTCTTCCTTCTCCATAGTATATACCTCATCTTTTACTCTTTAGAGCATTATTGTATCATTCTTTTTCTTCGTCTTGTTGGCTACGTACTTCAGGTTCAGGTTTATCTTCATCATCTGGTTCTGCCTCGATGGAGCTACAGAGGAAGAAGGAGAAGAAGGAGAAGAAGCAGAAGAAAAGGGATGAAGATGAGAACGAAAGGAAGGAGAAGGAGGAGAGGAAAAAAGAGAAGGAGGAGAAGAAAAAAGAGGAGGAGAAGAAAAAGGACAAGGAGGATAAGAAGAAGGCGAAGGTGAAAAAGGAGAAGAATGAGAAGAAGAACAGAAATCACCATTTTCACTTCTCTGATTTCATGTAAATGCTTGAACAAGAGAATGATTTGTTTTACTAAATTAAGAGTAGTCTGCATTTGACAAGTTGTATGTTATTATTGGGCTTTGTTACTTTGCGGTTGCTTCTACTCTTATAAGTTAATAATATGAGTAGCTTAACATAGTCTCCGCACCTTGGAAACATGTTAGGCCAAAAGCTGACAAATGCATTACTTGCAGAGACCTGATGCCATTGTCCGCAGCCACAAAGTCTATAAGAGGAACTCTAGAATTCTACATAGACAACTTCGTAGAAATAAGCAAAAAGACCATCAACAATTCGTCTTACCAGAGATGGGTTTATGGGGAATGGACTTATTTCCTTTGGCCTTTGACCTGATGTTGACTCTGCCTAATTTTGCTGTAACATGAATCTGACCGGGACCATTGGGTATGCTAGTGATACCAGAAGTCAGAGGCATAATCCATGTGCATATTTAAACGAATCATTTTGTGTTAATATTGAATACATATGAGTACAGATGATTGAACCAAACAAAGCTAATCAGAAGTAGACTTTTTGTTCGATAATTTGAAACTGCAGTGTATGAATAAAGAATGTTTGTTCCATAAGTTGGAAATACGTATTCAGCGTTTATAGAATACACTCATTATTAGGCTTTAATCTCGATCAAGACTATTTTGCACACTCTATATTGTGTTGGAAAAGTGCAAAGCAAAATCATCTACATATTCTCAAACTACTTAAGTGTTGCAGCATTCAAGTTTTGTGCTCTTGTACAGGCGATGACTGAGACCCTTTCCATCAATACATATATCCAAATGCAGGTCAAAGCAAAACAAAATCAATAGATGAATTACTACTACTAATACTACTTCATTAGTACTTTCCATATCTTCCTCATATAAACGGCTAAAGACCAAACTGATAGTCCTGCTGATACATAAAGCAAGCCAGCACCTGAAGCTACGAGCCATCCAACATTGCTATCCCGGCTTGCAAGAAGTATGGTTAGTGCTGTCATCTGCGTGGCGGTTTTCCACTTGCCCAAGTTATTTACAGCAACTGCCTGCAAGCATCAATCAATCCCATTCCACGATTCAATAAGAACAGAAACAAAAAAAAAGAAAGCTCTTACGCGATACAATATCAGAGATAGATGTTGCTGATTTAAGTTACCTCTAACAGCTTCCCATTTTGAGATGCAGCCCATTCTCTTACTGCTGACATAGTAATCTACAAATGTATTTTATATAGTTAAGGACATGTTTACTTATTCTGCAAGTGAATGATATCAAGGAATTACAATCAATTTTGCTATAAATCTTACCTCCCTACCAATGATTGCAATAGAAGGTACGGTCAATAACCATGGAACTGGTCCTAATTCAGCAATGTCGATAGGTTTTGTACACAGTAAGATCAATGTAGCTGAAAGTCCAAGACATACATAAATCAGAGATATGTGTATCTAGTCTACATAGATCTCTTTTTCCACTATAATAAATGAAGCTTAGTCTTAAGAAAAAATCAAAGGAGGAGGCTTAGAGGAAGACAAGTCTGCACACCTTATCTGCAACTGGATCCAAAAAGGCACCAAACGCAGAACCTAACCTCATCTGAAATTTGTACATGATTAGACCCGTTAAGATTGCAATGTGAAATGCGGGAAAACATATCGAAGACACAGATAATGGTAAAAAGAAAGAACCTTGCGGGCAAGATAGCCGTCAAGCCAGTCTGTAATGGCTGCTGCAATGAAAATGCTTGTTGTAGCAGTTGTTCCCCACCAACTATCAACATAAAAGGCTACAAGCAAAAACAAAAGAATGAACAATTTTACATAATATACAATCCAAAAAAGACTGAGACCTCTCCCACAAGATTAGAACTTAGAAGTAATGGAAACTAGACGTTCGATAAAACATAGAGGAAAGCTTAAAATCCACATTAGCCAAAGATTAAGTGTATCTGTGTCTAATGTTGTTTTCAAGCAAAACAAAAAATTGAGCACACGAAATGATTCTACAAACCCAGAATGGATCATGATCACTTATTAAACCCATTTGTTCAAATACTGTGACACATTCGAATCCAAAACAATTGGAGGTAACAAAGTAACGTACTTGCGACGAGGAGCGGAACGGCAGCGACACGGCCAAGTGTTAATACGGTGGGTAATGTAAGAACTTTGGAAGATGATTGCGACGGAGGCGGTGAAGAATTGCCATCACCATCAAGCTGACCGTGACCACTGAAACTGTTTCGGGAAGAGGAAGTTGGTCTGCTTTGCTCCGACGAAGAGGATGAAGAAAAGTAGGAAATGCGGTGGTGGCGAATCGGAAACCTTAGAGATGTACGGGAGGAGTAACGGGAAGTGATAATGCAGCGGCTAAGATGCGCCGGAAAAGAAAAAGTTGGGGATGGACGTAACGTGCGCCGCAAATTGACATCGACGATTAACGAAGCGAGACCGGATCTGAGCATGGGCGAGCTACTATTTTGGATCGCTTCGATTTTTGATTGCAAAATTGAAAAAAAAAAAAAAGGTAAAAGTCAAAGAAGATGAAGTTTAAGGGTACCTGAAAAAATTCAAAGATTTGGAATTCGAAGAAATTGGGAAGACGGTGTGTGTGACGTGGACTCAAAAGGGTATAAATGACTTTTAAATAAACACGAAACAAGTTGGGCTTTAGTTGATTTAGGCCCAAAATTATTAATCTATAGTAAAAGTGTATTTCCAAAGAAGGACAAAAGTCTCGGGAATTTGATGATAAGTAAAGAAAATAATTAAAGTATGTAATAACGTCCTCTACAATCTCGGACCTTTTTCTTCGTCTCTGTAGTAACTTCATCTTCTTTTTTCAACTTCAGTCGCGTGTAATGAAGATCAATTAGTATTGCTTGCTCCCTCGGATCTTCTTCTTCGCTCAGCCATATTTTTCAACTATCACCGCCTCTACTTGGAGAGATCTCGTTCTCCGACTAAGGAATTATGATCGCCGACGCCGTTTCTAAGTCTGACCACAAAAGGTATCGCTTTTCTAGCTTCTCCATTGCTACATTTCCTAGCTCTTTGGGTTTCTGTTTCTACTGTACTACATTTGAGGGATGTTTTTTTGAAATTGCGGTTTCTCACTTCTCTGCTCTCGATTTGCTGAGCAAAATGCCGTCTTTTTAGATCACTAGTTGAGCATCTAGTGATCATTGATAATGATTTGATCTTTAGCTTAGTTACTGGAACAAAATTGAAGAGGGTCGTGTAAAGTGAAAATATGTTGTAAATCAGATGGTTTGTCAAGGATGCAATTTGTTTCAATGGACGGAGATTTTGTTTGATTTATGGATGGAATTGAAATATTCTTAGTACTGAGGAAGTTAATGTGGTTGGTTTTATGAACAGGGATGCATATGGATTTTCTGTGAGGCCTCAGCATGTGCAAAGATACCGAGAATATGTTAATATCTACAAGGTTCTATCTCCATAACTTTTATTTTCTACTCGGAAATTTCTTTTACATGATTTAGTGCACATTCGCATTCTTAGAAAAAAAGGATTGGTTCTTTTAAAATTTGGTGATCCCATAAAAAAGCTTTGTTACAGGGAAAACCCCTGTGTGAAAGAATTCAGTAGTGGACTAAACTTAGAAGTTCGCTTAATGGTCTTGGTATAATCAATATCGAAAGGCTTCATAGATCATAAGTCATTTTTGGTTCTTTAATGGTTGACGCAGTCACTGTCACTCGATGTTTCACCTTAACATTCTAATGCTGTTTTTTACTGATAAACTGCAGGAGGAAGAAGAGGAGAGGTCGGCCAGGTGGAACAATTTCCTGGAAGATCATGCAGAATTTGGTGTGTCGAATGGATCGTCTGAAAATAATCATGTCAATCCAAGTGAAAGTGACAAGAAAATAGAAGAGGAATCAAACAAGGGTGCTGAAAGAAAAGATCTGAATACTGACAAGCCAGGTTCTGATTTAAATCCTGGGAATGCGAGAGAGGAAGATGAGGTTCCCAATGCAGAGAAAAATGTGCACAAAGTTCTGTTGTGGGCTGAGATCAGACCATCTCTTCAAGCAATTGAGGACTTGATGAGTGTCCGTGTCAAAATAAAGGGGGATTCCACAAATGCCGAGCAAGAAGCTCAGAAATTGAATTCCTTACCCTCTACTGATGAGACCAAATCTTCAAAGGGAGTGTCTGAGAATGATTCTGAAGATGAGTTCTATGAAGTGGAGAGATCAGATCCAATTCAGGATGGTTCTTCAGATAGTACAAGTGTCTCCAGCATGTCTGCTGCTGCTGATGCAACTTCCCTAATATCTGCATGCCCCTGGAAAGACGAACTTGAAGTTCTTGTTCATGGCGGGGCACCTATGGCTCTGAGGGGTGAGGTAGTAAATCCTATCATTCTGTATTATCTCCTTCTCTTGTCTAGCATTCTCCTGCTATTGATAGTTAGTTCTTATTATCCTTATTTTCTGCTCAATAATCTGAAAGTATATATACAAATATTCAGCTCTGGCAAGCATTTGCGGGAGTCAAGAAACGTCGGGTCAAGAATTATTACCAAAATCTGCTAGCTGCTGATAGTCTAGGAAACGACATAGAGCAGGAGCACATGCAGCATGCAGATGAGAAAGGTTCAAGTACAGACCCCATCGCTGTTGTAGAAAAATGGAAAGGACAGATAGAAAAGGTTAGCAACTGTATTATCCTCCATTACTTGGCATCCAGTATTTTTTAACAAATGGTGCAGTACTGGACTCCTGTTGATCTTGGTCATTTTTCTCAAGTTGTTGCTTATTTCATTACAGGATTTACCCCGGACATTTCCAGGTCATCCTGCCCTAGATGATGATTTCAGAAATGCTCTGCGGCGATTGCTAACTGCCTATGCTAGGCATAATCCCTCTGTTGGATACTGTCAGGTATTCGGTTATTAAATACTGTCACTTCTGTATTCATGCTCACAAAATTGAACATCTCAGTTATTTGTTATCTTGAATCAATACATCATGTGCAGGCAATGAATTTCTTCGCTGCACTTTTATTACTTCTGATGCCCGAAGAAAATGCCTTTTGGTATGTTCGGAAACTACTCTCCAACTCCTAATTTTGGTTTTCAATGAAAATCAAACTCTTTGGTTCTGTGTGAAGTTCGTGTATCTATGACTTCCTTTTCTTCTGGTTGAATATTAACTACTGTTAGCCCATTCCTCAAATCTTCTTCTTAACAAACATGTAAGTTAACTAAATATTACTTCGAATTTTAAGGTCGCTTATAGGAATCATTGATGACTACTTCCATGATTATTATTCAGAAGAGATGATCGAGTCCCAGGTAAAACAGTAATCTTTTTGTCGTACAGTATTTTCCTATCCTTTAGGGCCGACTAGTGATCTCATCATAAAAGATTTTACTTTCCCCAGGTTGACCAACGAGTTCTGGAGGAGTTGCTTCGAGAGCGATTTCCTAAATTGGGTTAGTTTTTTCATAGTCTTGTTTCATCTTACCAAAAATTTGGAGTTGGTGCTAACACTCTTTGTGATTTCTGTCCATCTGCAGTTCATCATCTAGATTTTCTTGGAGTCCAGGTGGCTTGTGTTACAGGGCCATGGTTTCTTTCCATCTTCATTAATATGCTTCCATGGGAAAGTGGTCAGGTTTTTAGAAATTGGAATTTTAAACTTTATTTTTAGAGGCAAATTGTTTATATATTCTTACGTTTTTCTGAATGTCAGTCTAAAATATCTTCTTTGGTATAACAGTTCTCAGAGTGTGGGATGTGCTTCTATTTGAAGGAAATCGTGTTATGCTTTTCAGAACAGCACTCGCATTGGTGGAATTTTACGGTACTCAGTTGAACCTAAGTGTCCATATGATTTAAGTAATAATCAATGGAATTGCTCTAACATTTTTATGCTTGCCATATCAGGTCCTGCATTGGTTACAACCAAGGACACTGGAGATGCTGTTACTTTGTTACAGTCAATGACTGGTTCAACATTTGATAGCAGCCAGCTCGTTTTCACTGCTTGCATGGGTTACCAAAATGTACATGAAAGTAGATTGCAGGAACTAAGAAGCAAACACAGGCCAGCAGTAATAGCTGCATTTGAGGAAAGATTAAAGGGGCTTCAAGCTTGGAGGGATTCAAAAGGCCCTGCGACCAAATTACATAATTCTAAGCAAGACCCAAATTCTGTTTTAGCTAGCAAAGCCTCATCGTCAAATGGGAGTTTATCTCGTTCTGAATCAGGATCCAGTTATGCAGACGACGTCTTTATTAGCCTGACTGGGGATGGTGAGATAGATTGTTTTCAAGATCTTCAAGGACAGGTAATTTGTGTCATCCTTTCTGTTGGGTTGGAGATGTTGCCCCTAGGAACTTGAAAGATAAATGTGATGGGTAGTAACAATTAAGAAAGTTTCTTACATGAACTTTAGCTGGACCAACTAATACCACTACTGCGAATATAAGTACGCATTAGTGCAAGTAATTGCAATGTCAACTTAGAATAAAAACATTTGCCCACAACGACTCCAGGTTCTCTGGTTGAAGGGTGAACTCCACAAGTTGCTTGAGGAGAAAAGATCCACTTAACTAAGGTTAATCTCTTATCTTAGTATATGACTTTAAATACTGAAATCACTCGTGAACTTTTTATATATATCCTTATTATTCCTCGATCACTTCCTATGTTATTATAGAGCTGAAGAGTTGGAGATAGCTCTCATGGAGATGGTCAAACAAGATAATCGACGTCAACTGAATGCTAAGGTATTCCCGTTTGTGATTTGAAACTCTGTTTCCTAATTAAGCATGTGGGTGTAGGTTCAGTTGCTTCTATGCTGTCATGAATAAGGATGATACTTGCTCCTTCTATTTGAGATAGTCTGATTTGTTTCATGCTACTGAACATAAATTTTGGGTAGATTGAGCAGTTAGAGCAAGAGGTGACAAAGCTTCGAAGACTTGTTTCTGATAAGAGGGAACAAGAAGGTGCTAACTATGATACAGGTTTGCATTTGCAACTTGTTTACTTCTCAAATTAATCTGTTCTCTTCTATTGCAATTCAATGTATGGTAATTCTTAGACCACTTGAAATTTATGAAGGTCTTGATGCGGATGGAGCAAGAACATAAAGTAACAGAAGATGCACGGAGACTTGCTGAGCAGGATGCAGCAGCTCAGAGACATGCTGCTGAAGTGCTTCAGGTTAGAAAGTTTGCATTGACTAATGACTACAACTATTGATGAAAGTGTGTTGCCTATCTGTTTCAAAGAGTCTTAACTGCTACCTCTATTTTGTGTGTGTATGGTCAACTAAGTGTATGATTTATCGACTGACTTATCTACTTGCTATAGAAATTTGGAGCTTGCTGGTTCTTCTTTAGCATGATACCTTATGGCATGTTTACTTTATGAGGATGTCATCTTGCTAGAGTTTCTTTGTCTCAGAATACACAGTATTCGAGGCGACAAAAAAAGTTATCCTGATTATGATAATGCTAATGGTGTAGGAAAAGTATGAAGAAGCTGTTGCAGCACTCGATGAGATGGAGAAGAGGGCAGTTATGGCAGAGTCCATGTTGGAGGCGACTTTGCAGTATCAATCTGGCCAAGTTAAAGCACAACCTTCACCACGGTCTGTTTCTCAGGCATATATCAAGTGAACTTCGTGTAAAAAACTAGACTTTCCATTGGGTGCATTAATTCACCATTTGTTTTCTGAAACTTTTCAGGCAACTGAAGCAAGATTTGCCGGTCATAGTCAGTCCCTAGAATCTTATCCAAGTCAGTCTTCTTCTTTCTCTGACTCTCATATATAGTCAAGAGTTCAGTGTATGTAACAATTGGAGTTTCTTTGGTCTTCAAAACCAATTGTGAATATTACATCTGATCTGTTGCTGGCATTAACAAGGCCTTTCTGACCTGCGATTGCAGAACTCTACATATCAAAAACCTAAGGAGCAAGTTAATGACGCGAAGTCATCAACAGAAGGACAAAACACAAACTTCATAGCAGAAGAACACAAAGCTCTAAGACACTGCGACACTCCGTAAGGTATATAATTATACAACTTGCCGATTAGATTGTCGACATAACTAGTAGATATTGAATTACATAATTTCTTTGGTAAGCATATAGAAACAATTCGTTGTAAGTCAAAACTCTGTTTGTATGACAAAAAGAGTTTTCAACTATCTATAGTGGACCAGAAGCCACAAAGAAACTTCACTATATAATATATGCATCAAATAACCACAAAGGGACATGTATCTCTTTTATTGACTATCTTAAGCATATATGCACGAGGAGGATTACTCGAGCAAAGAATGTAGTACACGTTGTTTGATTCAACCATACAATGCAGAGAGAGATTAGGCTATTGCAGACTGTTTATCGTTTTCAAGGTGTAATGCTCTAAGGAGCCTTGGCCATGACTCGGGGATTCCACCGGGTAATTCAAATTCCAATAGCTTCCCGCGCTTCTTGTAGAATTCCTCCACTGGTTGAGTCTGTGAAAGAGGAAAAACATATAAACATTGTTAATTCTATGAAAATTTGAATCATGGAACTATGGAAGAAGTTAGAAGAAATATTTTTACCATTTTGTTGTAAATCCGGAGTCTTTCCTTGATAACTTCTTCGGTGTCATCAGCTCAACTTATAAGCTTCGATTCACAGTTTGGCGGAGGAAGAAGAGGAGGCATATACATTCTGGGACTATCATCATCACCTTTGATATCAATGCACGCAACGTTATAGTTTGCACCACACTCGCTGCAAATTCTTCTTCCTAAACATTTCGCAAGTAATGCCTCTTCTCGAAGCTTCAGGTTGATCACCAGATCGATATTAGTTACTCCCTCCAGTGTATCCTACAAGACCAAAAAAAAAAAAAAACAGAGTTGTCAAGGTATTTGAACCAAAGAGTCAGCCATCCTTTAGCTTGAATTCTACAAAAGCAATATACAATGCTTACCGCTTGTGTTACGGTTCTTGGAAAACCATCAAGAATGTAACCAGATTCACCCTTCTCTTTGCCAGCTTGGAGCCGCTTTGATAACAAACTTATAATGAATTCATCAGGAACCAATTTCCCATGGTTAACAAGCTCCTTCAGCTACACCAATACAGATATGCTAATCACTTAACAACGAACAGTCTTTAACATATAGTAAAACTCAATGTTTCAACCCTTGTTCTAGTTCTACACAAAAGATATATACAACCCCAAATTCGTTATCCATCATTGGATCCTCTTTATACCAAAAGAATTCTCATTTCAAAGGAAAAATCTGATCTTAGCACATCATGTTGTCATGTTGATGACATTTGTGACCTCATATGAGACTTAACAACCAAAATTCAACATTTACATCAAAATGAGACCAATTTTCTCAGCAGACTCAATTCAAGATCACTGAACACACAAATCAAAATCTCAAAATCTCAAAATCATAGAATCAATTGATCTCTATGTCTTCTTCACTGAGCATCTCTATAGAGAGTGGTTTCAACAATAAACAAAGAACAAATCAACAGAACCACACAGCTACAAAAATTAATCGCTAATTAATTGAGAATTTTTACCTGAGAGGAGAGGAGGCCAGAGGAGGAGAGCTCTTCACGAACGAGATCACCAGTGGCAATATGAGGAACGCCGAGGAGAGAAGAGAGACGAGAGGCATAGGTTCCTTTACCAACACCAGGACATCCAAGAAACACCCAGTGGAAATTTCTGCCTTTGTATGGAGACGGAGACGTGGACGTAGAGGAAGACTTCTCGAGCTGAGACGCGGCCTCCTCCAAATAGGTAATGCTAGTCTATAAACATCTACTACGTCTTGCATATTTTTGTTGCGTCAACATACAAAACACATCTCCTTATTTTTTTATTTTTTTTTAGATAGCAACCACAACTTCCATGACGAGTACATAATTAAGTCTTTTATAACAATCATAAGAATCGCCCATAATGTAAACGCCCTAGCCGATCGAATCGAATCCGTTTAATCTGCAGAGACTCTGTTTCTGATTCCTCCCAAGGCAAACCAAGATCCTTAAAACATTGTTTGGCTGTCTTCTCCAACGAAGCATCTTCTGAGAAACAAGTGTGGCAAATCTTGTCAATATTTTTCTTCAACTCCGCCAATGATGAGTCTTCCTTTAACATCTTCTGCCCGGTTTGCAAAATATAGGAGTTCAAAGCATCGTTCAACTGCCCCAGTAAGTCCATCTTAGAGAACAAACGATACATCCTACTAAGGACATCATGGCTTCTCTCATCCATAAACTTCACAAAACCCTGCAACCACAAGGGCTTAGAAAACATATTGTTCACAAAAGTCAAAGAGATCAAAGGGAAAAGAGAGCTAGCTGCTTATGAGGACCTTTTCAAGAATGACAGAAACATGATCCCTTAGAAGTATTCTCTCAACAGCCTCCATCAACGATTTCTTGAACCCTCTAAAAAAGTAGAGGTGTCTGCAATTTTCCTTCTCCTTACGCAGCATTTGCTCGACATGCTTCAAATAATGGGGAATGTCGGACTGCTCCTTGAACTGCAGTGATTCTGCTGAGTAAAACTCAACAGCGCAGTCCATAAAAGGCTTCTCGAAGAAGCCCGACTTGTAGAACCATGGCCCATGCAACAAAACCCAAAGATTCTTTAGCTGAGTCGTGTCAACAGCCTTGCCTAATCTGGTGGTAACAATAGAAAGGCAAAAGAGTGATCTCAGTAAATCCAAATCTATCAACACGTAATAACAATGATAATTCTAATATCATGACATTTACCAATCTATCCACCCTAATGTAACAGAAATGTACCTTTGATCTCTAATGAGGTTTAAGTTGATGGAAAGAAGCTTGTCACGAACTTTAGAGGCTAAGCAGAGATGCTTGGGGAAAAGCTCAATACCCAAGTCCCACAATGATTTCAGACCAACTGTATGACCTTCATACGCAATGCTACAGAGATCCTGCAACTTGCGGCGAAACTCCAGGCAACAATTCTCCATGAGTGGCAGGAAAACAGAGGGATCATCATCGCAATGCGATTCGAAATACTGTATAGCTGCAGAGATGTATATCTCACACTCCTCCAAGATCAGCTTGTAAAGGGTTTCTCCTGATGACTTTGACCACCATGCTTTATGAACAGCCTGGATGATGCAAGAACATTCAAGAAAAAACATTTAGAAAGAAAGAAGAAATAAGCAAAAGTAGATACGAGAACATACGTTGAAAATCTCAGAGCAGTGATAATCTTGTGGCTCATCGAGGAAGATGGTTCTTATAGCTGGCTTTAGCTTTGTCCAAGCATCATCCAAATAAATTTTAGGGTCTCGTTTAGCTATATGATGTCAAAAACATGAAAACAAAATTATGATAATCATAGCTACGAATACATAATACAAAATATGAAAGAGAGGCATACGTATATCAGGGATGATGGGCTTGAAAACCCGCAAACCAGGAGTAGTCTTCATGGAGATATTCGCAGGATCGTTATCTTCATGATCGTCTGTGATTAAGCGATTGATGGGTTGTGGATTCATGATAGCCAATTGTGAAACTAAGTGGAATCAGAGGTATCGATCCATAAGATACGGATAAAAGAGGAATTTTCAGTTTATGCTTATTGAGGAAGTTAGGGTTAACAAAACTTCGGAAACCAATTTATTTTTACAAAATGATTTATTAAATTGAGTCTAGTGATAATAAAAAAGGATATTTCATTAAAGATATTTTATCTTATTATTCATAGTTAATTTTTTCTTGTTACCTTTTTTGACTAAGCTTTTTAGAGTAATTTAGCATCTTTTATGTGCTATTCTATTTAATTTCCCTTATAAAAAAGTAACTGTTCTTTCCTAGCTTCTGGTAGTATCTTCACTAGTCCTCAGAATATTAGTGCTCTTGGGATGGATATTTGTGAGAACGTTTCTTCTTCTTTTTGGCAACACATAGTGAAGTTCCGTTGCGAGGAGAAGAAGTATGAGAAGGAGCAACAACTTGTGAGCTACTACAGCTTTGGCTATCAGGAGGGCTCCCTCCAGTTGATAGGGGCTAGTCCAAACCCAAACAAAACTTGCAACACATTGTGGCAATTCTGATGGGTCTTGAGGAAGTGTCAATAAAATATTGTTTTCCTTCTCTTTTAATGGGACAAGTGCCGCAACATAGTTCTTGTCCAACAAGCTGTTTTTTGAGATCACCATCAAATTTGTTGGTTCATCACGATGTTGCAATCCCCAAATATAAACGTCCCTAAACAACCTTTCACGTTTGGCATTACCACTTCCTAAAGGCATGTATATATTAACGGAGATCAGAAAACGGAGAATCGAGTAAAAGAGAAAGAGTGACAAGGCAGTGTAACCCATATTCTCGAGAGGTTAATGTTGCACTCAAAGAAAAGCTTCTTAAAGATGTGTGTTAGAGAAAGATATCCAAGAAAACATATCAGTAATCATAAGATTCTTTAAGTGGCTCGTATTACATTATCTGGAGTGAATAAGATCAACACTAAAGTAATAAAGAAGATAAAGAAGATAAAGAAGAAGAAAATTCACGATCTTAATAAAGTGTTGCAAAAAAAGAACTTGTCTTGGACTCCAAGGTAACAAAGTGATATATGCTTCTCAGAAAGTTCCTAACCCATCTCCCAGAATGAGTATTTCTACAATTTTCCTTAGCTCCACGACTACACCAAGATAATTAAGTCAAAATACAACATTTTATCTTGCTACTAAAATCTATCCAGCTAGCACTTATTGATCAATGCTTTAATTTCCTCTAGTAGAATTGGCGGAGATTTGTTCCTCACATTTTTTTTTTCGCTTACCTAAAAAAGTTATGCTCTTTATATTACTCACTCAAAAACCTAGTGAGGTTCATAATAACCACAGTTGGAAAAAATCTCTATAGAAAGAAGAAACGAAAAGTAAGAGATTGGCTCATCGAGGAAGATGATTTTGAGAGGTGGTTATACCAACTCCCAAGCATTTTTAATAGTCTGGCATCAACTAAATGATAATAGTTCAATGGCGTTTAATTATTAATGAAAACCTTCAAAAATTGTGAGAATTCAATAGCTTGCTTTTAGAGATGACTGATCAAGAAAGAATACATGTAACTAAAACCTCGATTACAACGTCATTACATCTTTTTTGAATAACATGATCCGCTGAGCGATTAATAAGGGGTTGATGCGAATATCATAAAAGCACGTGACGGCATGTGGCATATTGGTCAAGATAATTCTCGTATAACTTATTTAGAGTTCGAGTACGAGAAAGGCGGTAAGTTAGAGACACGTCACCATGGGGTGAAACAAGAAAGATCACTGAAGGTAAATTTTCTATAAACTGTGAGATATAGTAAAAATATAATTGTTGATTTCTTGCGACAGAAGTATTCTTAAATTTTGATTTTGTTGCAGTTTGAGCTTTAATCCGGATGAATACATCAAATCGGTGGAAGCAACCTATGATAAACCAGACTTCTTCCGCAATGTCGTCATTACTCGCTTACATTCGAAACATCGAAGGGGAGAACATCATTCTCTGGATATAAGGGTGGTAAGAAGTTTAAGCTAGAGCAGAAGGGTCGCAAGCTTGTCGGGTTCCATGGAAAGGATGGTTCAGCTATTGATGCTCTTGGAGCATATTTTGGACATATTCCTACTCCGACTCCTATAATTGCAGCCAAGAAACTACCAGCAATAGGTGGCAACGGAGGAGTTGCATGGGATGATGGTGTCTACGATGGTGTGAGGAGGATACTTGTAGGACAAGGAAACGATGGTGTAGCCTTTGTCAAGTTTGAGTACAATAAAGGAAAAGATCTTGTATCCGGAGATGACCATGGGAAGATGACATTACTTGGAACTGAAGAGGTATTCCATAAACAACAAGAGTTTTTGTTTCAAATAATTAATATATAACTTAAATTATACACATTTATACTTGTTACTTTCGAGTCTTTGCAGTTTGTGCTTGAAGATGGTGAATATCTAACAGCCATAGATGGCTACTACGATAAGATTTTCGGAGTCGAGACACCGATGATAATCTGTCTTCAGTTTAAGACGAATAAAAGGGAGTCAACTCCGTTTGGAATGGACTCCGGTGAGAAGTTCTCAATCGGAGAGATAGGCCACAAGATCGTCGGATGCCACGGACAAGCTAGTGATGTTGTTCACAGCATCGGAGTCACTGTCGTACCAATCACCACCACCAAGTGAAAAACCTTCTATTATATAATTTATATTAGTAAAACCAGCCACTGTCATGTCGACAAAATAAACTTCCAATAAGGATTGGTGTGTGTTCTCTTTACTCTGCTACTTTTATGTGTTTGTAAGTTACTGTTTCTGTCAAATGTGTCCAATAAGATTGGTGTGTGCTCTCTTCAACCATTCAATAAATCTACCATGAGCCGTGTCAAATAGCTAACATCGAACACACAGCTGACAGCCCCACTGAAGATGAGTCGTCCTATATAAATATAGGAAAATAAATTATTTTTTGTTCTGGAATTTTATTTTTTGTGGATACGTGGAGTAGAAATCATATGCAAATAAAATCATACCAACAATATAATGAACTATTATTATTTTAACTTTTTATAAAACAGCCTTTCTGAAACTTTCCTTTGGTTGTTTTTTTTTCCGGCAAGTTTACTTTTTTGAACATCTATTAACTTTACTTTTTTAGTATATAAAAGGACATAAATCACAATTAAAGTATTAAACGTCGGAGAAAAAAAATTCCTATTAACGTTAAATCTAGCCCTAATCTTTTCTAAGAGAGGAGAGACTCTGTTTTGTATCAATCATCGATCAATCCCAACTCTAAAAGATGCCTAACACTCAGCCTAAGTCGCTGTGTTTGGATGATCTTAATGATCGGGAAAGACTTCAGTATAGGTATCAATTCTTCTTGTAAGCTTGTTCAAAAAACTTGAACCGCTAATCTTGATTATATATGCTTTTTCTCCGGATTTTCATATTGGAGTTGGAAGATTTCACCGAAATCAAGATTAAAAGTGATGAAAATTGCCAGGTAATTAATATTTCTGATTCTTTATACGATCAATCAAAGTACTTGATATTTTTTTTTATCGTATCATGAATAATCCTTTTTCTTTTTTTTTTTGCAATTTTATTTCAGTTCTGTACGTACTTTAGATGATCAACTTTATAAAACCTCGGATTATCATAAACATGTTAGACATGAAATCGTAAAACATGTAAATCAATCTTGAAACTGAGTCTGCATATATTGTTTTCTATGTTACAGGTAACAGGTAAAATGGTCTCAACCAACTCCACTGTTGCAACTCTTGTAAAGGAAGTGGGTCTTCTTCAGAAGAGGTTCTCGTCTTGCCAATCACTCCCAGTATGCAAGGACATCACCTTTGTCCATCAGCTTGCAGAAGCTGCTATTTCTTCCCAGATCAAACCACGCGAAGAGACTTGTGCAATATGCTATGAAGACTTTCAGTGTGATAAGATGTTCGAGGTACTTGGATGTTTCCACCTTTTCTGCGATGTCTGCATGAAGGAACACCTCAGAACAACACTAGTATGTGGGAAATGAGCAATCTGCCTAATAGAGGATTGCGAGTCAGAAATTCATAGAGAGGCTTGTGTAGGTATTTTAGATCCTGAACAGCTTAGTGTGATTGACCAGCGCAAGATGGAGAGCGAGATCAACATGAGAGACAGAGTCTATTGTCCGGAACCCACATGTTCCGCTTTAATGGCGAAGGACAAGCTCCTTAAACACACAAACGAATTCTTTCTTGGTGCTGAACAGGTAGGAGCCAGAAAGTGCATGGTGTGTGGCACGTTTTTTTGCATAAACTGCAACTTTAAATGGCACTACCACATAACATGTGATGAATTCCAAAAAACGCAAACTTATCAGATATCTAATCATGCAAAGTTTGAGTCTGTGGCTAAGAGGCATGGATTGAAGAAATGCAGAGTGTGTACCACTTGGGTCGAACGAGTTTATGGCTGCAACCACATGACATGCCGGTTCATTTTCTACATTTTTTTTACTTCATATTCATACTTTTAAAATTGCATTTTTTATCGATGTATTGATTTGATTTTTTGTTTGTTCCTCACAGATACAAATACGAGTTCTGTTACACGTGCGGCGCTGAGTGGATAAATAAGGAACAGACATGTAAATGTCGGCTCATGGATTAACCCCTAGAGACAATAATCATGAAACAAAAACAAAGTTACCTTTTCTAGAAGCGGAAGTGGGAGTGGGGCTGAAAAATTCTTCAATTTCACGGGTTGACATTGCTGAGTAATGCCAGAACTAGAAAATAAAAAGATATTGGAACAAATGGTGAAGCACTATTCAATAAGCACATCGTTTTAATCATCTATGTTAAGAGCATCAAACAATAGCACAATATCATCATCAATTAATAGCCATCATCATCTCTAAATGAAATCATCATCATCATCTCTAACCACATAATCAAACTACAGAAACATCATCTATCTCAAGCAAAAACCAAAACACACATTGAACTAAAATTGTACAGGAGTTATTTAAATGGTAATAATTCAATGGCGTTTAATTATTAATGAAAACCTCAATTCAATAGCTTGCTTAGAATCCTAGAATCCATAAACCACATATCGAAATACCCAAATAAAACAAGATTGAAACGAACAGAATACAAAACTAATAGAGATGACTAATCAAGAAGAAATACATGTAACTAAAACCTCGATTACAACATTATTACATCTTTTTGAATAACATGATCCAATGAGCGATTAATAAGGAAGTGATGCGAATATCATACAAGCACGTGACGGCATGTGACATACTACCAACTAAAACATAAATTATTTATGACCAAAGTATAATATGATTTTTTTTATTATTATTATGTATGAATAATATAGTTGGATTAGAATCCATCACCATCAGTACCATGCCTTGGAATTGGATTGAAAAAAACATTAATCTAAGTTAATTAGGTTGTCTACTAAAACCTTTTATTTTGTTTTGATAATTTTGTGTGATAAAAACTTATAATTATTAATTGGTTAAATGAACAATTGTAGTATACATAGTTCCGTTTGAATTTATTTTCGGAACACAATTAGTAGATGATTATTAGGTCATTCTTCAAATAATTAGGGATATACTGTTCTATTAAATAATGTAACGTATACTTTTCTCATTATTATTAGAAACAAAAACATAATTAATGTTCACTGGGCTTCGTCACGTGATCCTACGCCCCTCCACTCTCACCTACAAAAGCGTCATCGTTTTAACTTTTCACATTTTCTTTTTAAAAGATATCCAACTTTTTTTTATATTTAATAATGTATGGGCAAAGTTAATGCCAGAATAAAAACATTGCTTACGATTTGCAGTTTTTTTTCAGTAACCTGACAAAAAATATCCTCAAATTAAATAGAATTCGCTAAAAAATAAATTAAAATTTTGAATTTGTGGTATACTTTTTAAATTTCGAAACAAAACAAATCAGCGCAAAATACTAAATTAAAAAAATAATTAACCCGTTAACTCTTCTCTATAAAACCACTCCTCTTCATACTCTCTCACTCTCCTTCACATTTCTGAAAACCCTAATTCACTCTCCTTCCTCCGGATTTCGAGATCCTTCGAAATCAATCTCTATTTCCACTTTCTTCTAGCGAAAATGCGAGAGATCCTTCACATCCAAGGTGGTCAATGCGGTAACCAGATCGGAGCCAAGTTCTGGGAAGTGGTTTGCGCCGAACACGGCATAGATCCAACCGGTAGATACACCGGAGACTCAGATCTACAACTTGAACGCATCAATGTTTACTACAATGAAGCTAGTTGTGGTAGATTCGTTCCTCGTGCTGTTCTTATGGATTTGGAGCCTGGAACTATGGATAGTCTCAGATCTGGACCTTATGGTCAAACCTTCCGTCCTGATAACTTCGTTTTCGGTCAATCTGGTGCTGGGAACAATTGGGCTAAGGGACATTACACTGAAGGAGCTGAGCTAATCGATTCGGTTCTCGATGTTGTTCGTAAGGAGGCTGAGAACTGTGACTGCTTGCAAGGTATAATAATCTCTAGATCTGTTTGATTTTAGAGTTGATTTTGGTTTCAAGTGTTTTTCGTGGTTTTGAACTGTGAGATTTTTGGTTTATAGGGTTTCAAGTTTGTCATTCGTTGGGAGGAGGAACTGGATCTGGTATGGGAACACTGTTGATATCAAAGATCCGTGAAGAGTACCCAGATCGAATGATGCTTACGTTCTCAGTGTTTCCTTCGCCTAAGGTTTCTGATACTGTTGTTGAGCCTTACAATGCTACTTTGTCTGTTCATCAGCTTGTTGAGAATGCTGATGAGTGTATGGTTCTTGATAATGAGGCCTTGTATGATATTTGCTTCAGGACTCTGAAACTCACAACTCCTAGCTGTAAGTCTTTCTTTGATTCATGGTTCCATTGATACTGTTCTCAGAGTTTTAGATCAGTTGAGATGCTTCTGTTGTATGGTTCATATGCATTAGTGTATAGATGGTGAACATGATTTGGTCATTGTTTTGTTACTATTTTTAGTGGTTTATTTTTGCCTGTAGTCCTCATGTGTTTTGTGTTATTGGTTCTGTTTACTATTCCCTGGTTATCTGCATTGGTGTCATCACCACAATAAGTCCCAAATACTGCTATTCTTTACTCTTATTGGCAAATATCTAGTTAAGTGTTATGTAAATATCTGGTACTTCTTGTAACGGAAGCGATATGCAGAACTCAGTGGTTGTATAGTAGAGCATGATTATCAACGACTTTTGTGATTGTGAAAGGGTAACTCTGCTTTGTAATATAGTTTTTTTTTTTTTTTTCTGCTAAGCTCTTGTTTTGATATGGTTGTGTGATAAGTGTGTATATGGATAGAAGGACGGATACTTACTTCTTCATTCTCTGTTTGCAGTTGGAGATTTGAACCACTTGATTTCTGCCACGATGTCTGGTGTGACTTGCTGTCTGAGGTTCCCTGGTCAGCTCAACTCTGACCTTCGTAAGCTTGCTGTGAATCTCATTCCATTCCCTCGTCTTCACTTCTTCATGGTGGGTTTTGCTCCTCTCACCTCCAGAGGGTCTCAGCAGTACCGTTCCCTCACAGTCCCTGAGCTCACCCAGCAAATGTGGGATTCCAAGAACATGATGTGTGCTGCTGACCCAAGACACGGACGCTACCTCACTGCCTCTGCCATGTTCCGTGGCAAGATGAGCACAAAAGAAGTGGACGAGCAAATGCTGAACGTGCAGAACAAGAACTCATCCTACTTTGTTGAGTGGATCCCCAACAACGTCAAATCAACCGTCTGTGACATCCCACCTACTGGTCTGAAGATGGCTTCCACTTTCATTGGCAACTCCACATCAATCCAAGAGATGTTTAGGCGTGTGAGTGAGCAGTTCACAGCTATGTTCAGGAGGAAGGCTTTCTTGCATTGGTACACAGGTGAGGGAATGGACGAGATGGAGTTCACAGAAGCAGAGAGCAACATGAACGATCTTGTCTCAGAGTACCAGCAATACCAAGACGCAACCGCAGATGAAGAAGGCGAGTACGAGGATGAGGAAGAAGGAGAATACCAACAGGAGGAGTACTGAGTAAGTGTACCCCCTTTTAAAACCAATTTAGAGTCTTTTGCTTATCTTTTCATTAAAAAAAAAAAGAAAACCTCAACTACCAGTTGCAGGTTTTTAGTGCTTGTATTGACAACTTATGATCCTTTTAGACTTTGGTGTGTTGTTTTTGTACTTTGTTCTTATATTTGGTTTGGTCTTCCTTATCTTTTTCGTTTGCATCTTTTATTTATCTAGTTCTGTTTATGTTTGTTTTTTTATTTTTTGAAGATTTATAAGCCAGAATTATGATTAATATAATTATACAATGGAAAATTGCCAAATTTAATTAGGTTTAAGTTAGGGTTTGCTAGTCAAGGTTTCATTATTTAACCTTCCACGTCTTGTAGATTTACATTCCTCTTGATCTACAGATTAGTACACTCTTAAGATTACCTGTGAAGTCTTTATTGAGATGTCGATGTGTCTCCAAGCTTTGGTGTTCTATTATCACCAGCCAAGATTTTGGAAACCGTCACTTTAATATTACTTCTTACTCAGCTCCTTCTACTAGTCTCGTCACCTAACCCGAGCGTATCTTCCTCTTTTTCTTCTTCATGTTGTGTACCCTATAAAGATCTGAACATACTCAAAATTGATGGGATCAAAGTATTCTATGGTGCGGTCCGGGGGTTTATATGTTTTAGAAGCAGATTAAGGGTGGGGATTCGTAACCCCAGCACGGGAGAGCTGCCTACTTTTCCCCAATTCAAAAATTATCCAATATTTCGTACGTGCAACATGTACTTTTTTTTTGGGTACGATCCTGTTGAAGATCAATACAAAGTGCTTGTCGTTGATTATTCGCATGGGAGATTGGAGCACAAGGTTCTGGTAGTGGGATATGCTCGACCATGATTTTAAGATATAACCTTTGAATCGTATGGGGCTTCTCAAAGCAAAATTAATAGTATCTAAATATAAAGCAAAATTTAATTTCTAAGCATATATAAGCCCGAAATTAACTTCAGGTTTCTAAAGACATAAAGATCGCAAAAATGGTACGGAATGGCTTAGTCTGGGAAATAGGTAGTCCTTTAATTGCGACACTTCTCATGCTATTCGTCTTCAAATTGTAATAGAAGGGGCAAAACGGATCGGGCAATTCTTTTGGAAGTAGACAAATCTCACCGTTATAAACGGTTTCCATGACCTCAAAGTCAAGACCAGCAGCAGATTGGGGCAAATGAAAAGTGGTCATGGACCAATTCTCTTTCTCAGCATCTTCCACAACCCACATTCGAAAACTACCATCACGAGGGTGCTCAACCACACCAATTTTCCCTCTATAGTTGATCAAAGTTTTATCCGCTTCAGATGAACAATTCCACATCTTCTCATAACCCGCTGGTACGTTGATGATGTTGAACGTTTCAAACCTAACATCGAAACTCACAATTATAGAATTATTATTCGGGGACTTGATTTCCATCCTAGAGGCCCCGTAGTACAGGGTTCCGTTCATATACAGCCCCAAGGTCCGAACAACATGAGGACAGGTGGGATATGGAGCGTCTCTCCAACCTCCTCCCACTACCAAAACCTTGTGCTCAAATCTCCATCTCAAATGATGAATGGCTAGAACTTTGTATTGATCTTCAACAGGATCATACCCAAAAAAGTACATGATCCAGGGATCAGTACATGGATCCTTTTCGAATTTGATTTGTGGATAAATATGCAGCTGCCTTGTGCTAGGGTTACAAATCCCCACACTTAATCTACTTCTAAAACATACCAAGCCCCGAACCTAACCATAGAATTTGCTCCCATCAATTTTGAGTATGTTCAGATCTTTGTAGGGCACACAACATGAAGAAGATACGTTTGGGTTAGGTGACGAGACTAACAGAAGGTTTCCACTGCGAAAGTCCTGAAAAGCAATGAGAAGACGAGGAGCAGCTGAGGAAGATGTAATAATAATAAAGTGACGGTTTTGAAAATATTGGCTAGTGATGATTGAGGACCAAAGCTTGGAGGCGCATCGAAATCTCAATAAAGGCTTTACAGGTAATCTTAAGAGTGTATTAATCTGGAGATCAAGAGGAATGTCAATCGATGCCATCTGATTGATGAGCGGCGTCAAAATGAGACAGAAAGCTTTGTTCCTCTACAAAACCCTAAAATTAATAATTTTCTTCCTCCGGAAAAATACGATAGGAATGAGGCCGAAAAAGGGCAAAGCAGTTGTGACTTATGTGATGTGTAAGTCTTGAGAAAAAATATCACAATGAATTGATTTTTTAGATTTTATATATATTTTTTTAATTAAAAAATCTTCATTACTATTGTTTTTATTTTTTTATTTTTGCTTAAATGTATATGTGAAAAATGACTATACATAACAGGGGAATTGTTTAAGAATGCACCAGAAACAGAGTAAACTACGTGAGTATAAAATAAAAACAGAACCACTCTAACATCTTCGTAGCTCCTCCCAACGAAGCTGCAAATCGCAAATGTTCGAGGTAGGCGGCAGTCGCAGTGATGCTATCCGATCCCCAATGGCTTTATCAATCAGTTTGATCAACGCACTTGATGTATTGAAACCTTGGTTGTGACTCCTACTATTCCTCTCCCTCCAAATCATATAGAGAGTTGTTTGGAAGAGCATTCTGAGTAATGTCTTGTCTGTGAGGTTGAACTGAGTTGAACGGAGTGAAGCTAGTGTCCTAGACCAGTCTGGATTCAGCTTCCTCTGTAGTAAACGCTTGGTGAGTTCAGACCATATGGTGAAGGTGTACGGGCAAGCAAAGAAGAGGTGGTCTCTTGACTCGTCTCTTTCGCCACAGAACCCGCACGGTCTTAATACTCCCCAAGCTCGCATGCGTACTCCCGTAGAGAGCCTGTACTTACTGAGAAATCTTCATTACTATTCCTTGTTAATAGATTGAGAAATCAAAACCAGTTAGGTTTAGGTTTTGCTAGGCCAGTTTAAGAAGTTTTTTCTAGTATTATTTAAAGGGTTTTATTTCTCTACAAAGCTAGCTGGTACTTAAATCTAAGCTATAGACGTACGTCTTGAAGAAGACAATCGTGAAGTTGTGTTTTCCGCAACTATGCGTCATCCGGAAGAAAAAAATAGCTAAGAAAGGCAGCAAAAGAAAGTTTAAGGGAGTCTCCACGAGAAAAAGTCAATCTTCTGTCCAAATCCGACACCGACTACATTCCTCTCGATCTCCAGATTGAGACACTCTTAAGATTACCAGTAAAGTCTTTATTGAGATTTCAATGTGTCTCCAAGCTTTGGTCCTCTATCATCACCAGCCAAGATTTCAGAAACCGGCAACTGAATTTTGCTGCTTCCTCAGCTCCTTCTCGTCTCCTCATCACTTTTTATGACTTTCTCGGAAAAGTGATTCTGTTGTTCTCGTTGCCTTACCCAAACGTATCTTCCTCTTCCCCTCCTTCACGTTTGGTACGCTATAAAGATCTTAGCCTATTCAAACTCCATGGGAGAAAGGTATATAATGCGGTTCGCGGATTGATATGCATTGGAAGTAAACGGAAAGTGGGGATTTGTAACCCTAGCACGAGGCGGCTCCATGTTCTTCCCCAAATCAAACACAAAGATCCTCCTATCAATTTGGATGTTGATCCACGTTGTAACTATTTTTTAGGGTACGATCTTGTTGGAGATCAGTACAAAATTCTCGCTGTTGATAACTGGCGTTGGAGTTTGGAACAGAAGGTTGTGGTCTTAGGAGGAGAAAGAGTTTGGAGAAAGGCTCCATGTGCTAAATGTCCTCATGTTTCTCGAACCCCGGCCCTGTATATGGACGGAACACTATACTATGGGGCCAATAGAAGAGGCATGAATAATATTTCTATAATTGTTAGTTTCGATGTTAGGCTTGAAACGTTGAAAAGCATCAAAATACCGGTGATTTTATGAGGATATGTGGGATACATATAAAACTCTGATGAACTACGGAGGGTAGTTTTTGAATGTGGGTTGTGGAAGATGCTGAGAAAGAAGAATGGTCCATGACTACTTTTCATTTGCCCCAATCTGCTGCTGGCCTTGACTACGACATTATCGGTACCTTTAATACCTTCGACATTTGTCTGCTTCCAAAACGATTTTTTGATCCGTTTTGTCTAGTCTATTACAATTTGAAGACGAATAGCACGAGAAATGTCATGATTGAAGGACTGAATCAAGAATTGTATGGTCCCAAGCTTAAGAGTTCCAGTAGATATAATGTGAATGTTTCGGCTCATTTTGAGAGCTTCATGCATGTTGTTAGAAACCTAAATGCATTTTATGGCTTTTCTTTTAGTACGTACAGTCGTACAGATATTACTATTTTTTTTTATATTAAACTGTGTTTTGAGAAGCACCTGATTCAAAGATTCCATGGTCGATCACATCTTCTTGGTTCAAATGACAGAATTAATACTGAAGAGAGGTTCCAAAATGGGATGTATATTGTGAATTAGTCATGAGAAAAATTGCACAATGGTTTATTCTTCTGTTAATCACAGTGTTGAAGAAACAGATGATGAGTAGATTGTGAATTAATCTGTGAAACTAGGATTAGTTATTCTCTTAATATTCTTAATGACTGAAATAGACAATTTCTTGCTGCGCAAGTCAAGGCTTAACATATATATATATATATATGCCTTTTGTTAATTGTTCTTCTTGTTGACGGGCAGCTAAACCGGATTAAATATATATCCGAACAAAACTAAACAACCCTACCGGTAATAGAACCGGTTAGATGAAATCACAGGTTGAATTCCAATCCTTTGAATGTGGTTTCTCAGAATTGAACTATAGAATATTTGAAGAATGTTTACCAAGTATTTTGGCCTCTCAAAGAAAAATCGATTAGTCAGACCCTCGAATCATTATTACTTTCCAAAAGAAAAGAAAAGGCGTGAACCTTGCCGTTCTCTTGGTCGTACTCGTGTACTTATTAGTATATACTTGTTTATTGTTTGACCTTTACTAAATTATTGCTAAGCTCAAGATAAACCTATTTATTATTTTTTTTGTCAACGAGGTGCCTAGTTTTTTAGTATTTAACTTGTTATATATGTTTCGTAATTATCTTAATAGCGATAAGGTATATAGAAACAGCTTGGAACTAATATAAGCTTTCGCAATATCAGTTTTATTAAAGAAATCACATCCCTATATATGTAATGTATTCGACAATGCATTAAACATTCATATAGATGTTTCACCTGGTCCGTGCAAATCTTTTGATTTTGAATGGCTCTTATTCTTCATGTTATTTTCTTTTTTTTTTTGAACTTGTTTGTAAAATATTAGAAGTAAAAAAAATAAAATTTAGAGCCGAAAAGAAATGAATCCTGAAAGAAAAGAAAATAAGGTTTATATACTTTAAATTAGATTTCAAAACAAGGAAATAATGTTTGAGAATCTAAACCGATCGAAAACCAATTCGATCGTGAATCAAATAAGTGACTGAGTTAAAGTTAAATGATCATTTATTTTGTCTCAGATAGACATATCATACGACGAAAATCAATAATTTAGTTCTTCTTGTCTCCATATATGTATTTTCAATTTTGTTTCTCAATGAATCATTTTTTCTCGCAGAGGACTAACTTAAAACCAATGGGGATGGTTACTGATGGGGTTACAATAACATTTTATGGACAGCATTTGTTATCATAAATTTGTGGTTCAAAATTTGTCAACTATACTCAAACTACAATAATGCAAGAAATTCCAAAATCTTTATAGTCCCAAAATATTCATGGAATTGTGGAATTAATTTTGTGTAACCTAAAAAATCAATTGAGAATATTTTAACTTCTACTATTTAATTGACTTAAACCAAAAAGAAATATTAAAATATAAAGCCAACCACACACAAAGGAAAAAAATTCTTAATTAAGAAAAAAAAAATAACAGTAATTTCAATTGTTTAACAAACGCAGCCTGACGACGGCGGGAGAAGCTCGGTGGTTTTCCGGTCATCGGAGGGTTTCTTGAAAGTAGTGCTTCCAAAGAGAAAGAAACCAACGGCGTATCCGGCGATAGCAACGATGAAAACGCCTCCATTAAAGGACATAACAGCGAGCATCACCAAATACGAAAGGCCAGTCTTGAGTGTGTACACGGCGGTCTGAGCGAGCCCGGCGGCGCGGTTGGTAGAGCCACCAACACGTAGGACCGGCGAATGGGCAAGCCACTCGGCAATTACGGCGAGGAGGAAGACAACGATGAGACAGAGAGCGTACATGCCGGAGCTTGTCCCCGGCCAGCCGGAGAATAGAACCTCCGTGTTCTTACCCCAAAAGAACGTCATGTGCATCATCATCATGTGTGGTTTGGTATGATTCGACATTGATGATGATGGTGATGGTGGTGGCATGTTATGCATGTTATCATGATCCATGATACTAATGGTAATAGGGTTTATGATGGATTTTGTCGTAGACAAAAATTTTAAGAGAGAATCGGTTTGTATTTATTGTGATTTCTTCAATGTATTATGTGTTGTACTGTAGTACAAGTACATCATCTTTTGACTTGTTAAATTTTTTGTGTAGTACAAACATTCGTTATATTAGAATTTAGAAAATCCCCTTAAATAGATGTTCAAAAGAAAGACATCTAATCCCCTAAATATATATTTACCTTATTTGCATTGCATGATACAACTCCATGCCTCTTCGTCTAATCTTCTCTGCGTTGGTATTAGAAATAATTTACATGAATATCTAAATTTAGAATAAATCTAATAATTTGGAAATAATATAATTAAAGATTTAGTAACTTAGATTTCAAAATTAAATTTGAATAGGGTTTAAACCTTCTGTTTTTTTTTTTTGGCAATTGGTGTATAGTAGGTTAGTAACCAAAATTGAAGCAAAAGTGTTTACTCAATCTAATTGTTGGTGTTGAACTTACGAGAAATACTCCTATAATATTCAGAACTGCACTGAATATTTGGCATAGAGTAACATTTGTTAATATGACTTGTGACTTCATACCTCCGGAGACGAAATTATGGAACAACAAATCTAAGAAAGGTTATAGATCCAATGGATATAATATTTAAATTCTTTTTAATCTTGGGTCTATGACGAACAATAGATACAAAGATGATGGGTTTTGTTGTCATTTTTCTAAAGCAAAATAGTTTTTTTTTGCGTAAACTATTAACTTTAGAAAATAGTGTTCTTGGGTTAAAGTCAAAATATGACTTCTTGTTTAAGTCATACGTCGACGTATCGATGCAAAAGCCCCAAAAAAAGGCAAAAAGGTTTGGTACCTTGTGGTTTACGTCTCCCATCATTACCTGTCCGTCGTTTTCCTCACCGGAGACGTCACGCAATACTTAGCTTCGACGCTACACACATTTTTCCCACAGTCTCCGGCAAAATTACAACAAAAAGCTAACCTTTCTTTAATTATGAATAACCAAATTTCTATTTCGCTCAATCTAAATTGTTGTCTAGGTAAAACAATTCAAATTTGATGGCAATCTCCAATGGCGCCGTGGAATTTCTCCGGCGACGGCTCCTCCCAACGACGTTAATCCACGTCACAGCTCTGGATGGGATCGTGAATGTTAATTCACTCTTCTCGCTTGCTCTTTTCCTCGGTCTCACCACAAGTGGAAACATCACTTTCCCGGTTTCCTCATCCGCCGCCGAGAACCACCATCTCCACCGATGTATCGCCGCAAAAGGTCCCGCATTAGCGGAGAGGCTTGTCTCAAGCCATGTTTACTCCTTCAGCTTATTCCTCTTCTCCAGCCTCATCGCTATGTCTCTCAAGCAAGCAATTAGGACAACAACAACAACAAACGGGAACGTTGTGGTGGAGGAGGCGCGTGTGTTGAAAGCGGGAGAGGGACGCGTGAACTTGGCAGCTTTGAGGGTTGGGATCGTGGCCTCGTGTGTTGCGTCGGTTTTGGGATGTGGGTTCTTGACAATGGCGTTAGTGGATCTTGTTCAGATTAAGCTTGGTCCTTTGGAATGTAAGAGAAGCTTTCATGCACTTGCGGCTATTATTCCTCTTGTTGTGCTTGTTCCTTCTGCACTTGTTATCTATGTGTTCCTTGTGCTTTACGCATTCATTTATTGACACCTTTTGGGTTTCTACAATCTCTTTGTCTGATAGATTTGAGTTTCAGATTCGATTAGTTCTGTAGCCAGAGAGAATCCTCTGTTATATATTTTTACTATAGTTTCAAGATCTAATTTTGTTTAACATTAGACAAATAGACAAGCATAGCATCATTGAAACAGTTTCTTTAAGAACATAACAGAGGATCAAACGATCATATATTGTTCTGTTTCAACTTGTGTTCTTCTACAGAGACGCACTTAGAGAAGCTTCTAGTAATATAGTGAACCTGCGAAAATGACGAGATTGGGGAAATGTTAGAAGGGAAACAAACAAAGACGTGAATTCGGTAACAAACATCATCTGGTTGGGGTATATATATATATATATATATATATATATATATATATATATATATATATATATATATATATATATATATATATATATATATATATATATATATATATATAATACCTTGCCACCAGTTTCCTCTTGAGGCGTCCGACGAGTTTGCATCGTTGTTATCTCTGTTCTGATCCTTGTTAATCTGATGGGATACAACGTTTTGCAAAGTCAGAGATTTTGTCTCTTCTTTAAAACAATCAAATATCAAAAGTGACCTGAGTGGATGATAAATGATAATGATGATTACTCACTGTAGTGTGAGTATGGTTGTGAGTGGATTGAGAGTAAACATCTTGACCACCGTAGTAAAGTGATGAACTTAGATTGCAGGTTGCAGATTCTTTACGTTGGTCTGTGAAGAAACCACAAAAACCAATGAGAGAATCTTTTCATTAGACCATCCAGATTCGGATTGTTATCCTGACTAAAGAATGGCGAATCTCGAAGAATCTTTGAGCCGTTTTTGCATAATATAGCTAAGTATTGAAGCTTGTTTATGATGGATGAAGGAAACAGAGTAATTTATAAAAAAATGTTGGAGAAAGACTTTTCCACTGACCTAGGGAGCCATATTTGGAACTTAGGATGTTTCTTGATGTTCCCTGAATACTCTGAGAAAAGAAAAAGCAATAATGAACTTCAAGAATCAATCAAGAAAAAAAGGTAACAAAAGGAACAATAAAAAGAAGGGAATAGTAATAACCTTGGAGGGAGGAGGGAAAATGGAGTTGAAGTTGGCGGAGGAGGAAGGTTCCTTGGGGCCAAAGATTTTAGCGGTGTAGGAAGAAGGCGATGATGATCCAACTCTTCCTTTACCCTCCATTACTACGAGAAGTATGTCACTTATAGAAGGAAAAGAAAAAAGATGATGATGAAGAATGAGGAAGAAGATAGTATGATTATGTGTGTACCCACAACAAGATCATGAGTGTATATATAGAAAAATATAGACACTGCTAGAAATTTTCTCTCTGAATACATTTCTTCGTATGTAAAAACTTGCATCTAACTTGGTAAATCCAATAAAGCAAACCGAATTAACTAAAATCAAAATAGTGGTGGGGACTAAATCTAAAAGCGTTAGACGGTTCAAGATTTCAAGTTTTTGTTCTTTTGACTTCTCATATTATCATAAAGCCTTATACAATTGTACTTGAGCTTCTTTAATCCACTGGTGTCTTTCTTAACAGTATTTTTCATAAAGCAGATTTTGGCGGAAGATCTCACCATTTCACCAGTCATGTCACATTAATAAAGAATGGTCAAATATCTTTGATCCCAAACTAAAAATGTTCTTCTTGTCTCGTCAAGTGGATGATGCCATAATGTATTATTATATTTCTTGCTTTTCAACAGTACGGTAAGGATATGTATAATAATAATACAGAATTTGGTCATAATATTCCAAATACTCAAATGGATTTGGTCATGTATAATAAAGAAGTACTCAAATGGAAGTCTTCATCTTTTGGGGTTCAATGATTATCATATTAATAGCAAAAACGTGAGCGGCAGGATTCGAACCTGCGCGGGCAAAGCCCACATGATTTCTAGTCATGCCCGATAACCACTCCCGCACGCCCACAAGGACAAGAATCATCTAAGAAATCAACAATAGTAAACTTCTATTAAGTTGTTCATGAAGTAAGAATGATAAAAGAAGAACCCTTCAACAACATGAGAGGCCACAGAAATGTGGAAAAAGTAGAAAAGTTGTCAACTTAGAATCTTTTACTATAAAGATGATGGATTCACAAAGTTCGGTCTTTGACTAATATTGTGAAGCATCAGAACAAGGAATAGAAGTCACTACATAAAGATGATGGATTCAAAAGTTTGGTCTTTGCCTAATATTGTGAAACATCATAACAAGGAATAGAAGTCGCTACATAATCCGGGTTCGTCTAACTAAGTCTTTTGTCTTGTGAAGTAACAATTTGTTTCGCCACTTTCTCAGATCTACTGGTACTTCAATATCACACTCTGGATCTTGATCAAGATAGACTTCCCCTGTTGATATTGTTAAGAGCCTGCAGAATGCACAGTCACAGATGAATAACAGTCGCAAATAATTCCCGTGTCTTACTGTGCAATTCAAGACTAGACTGATCTACGATAAGATTAGATTTAACTACTTTAAATTGCCAAAAGACTAAAACTTCATAAGTAGAGAGAAACACTATTCAAAGAGAACAGTTTGAGAAAACACTGAGAAGTCTGAGATCGAAGAGTAGAGTTGTGCATACACACCTCAACATCTACCAAATATCTCTTCTGGTGGATCATAAGCATGTTTCTCAGGGAACAACTCTTCGAAATCCTTCTTCACTTTGTTTCTAAGAAGCGGATGCGGCAGAAGCCCCTTCAACAAAACCCTAAACGGCAACTCTTCCGGCGGATCTGGGGATTTCAACATGTCTTCATACACATTCATGGCATCAGCAGGACATCCATCTCTAAGAAACCCTCTGATAACCTCAGTATAAGTCTGAGAATCAGGAAAGAGGTTTTCTTTCTTCATTTTCTCCCACAAAGCCATAGCTTCGTCCATTCTTTTACTCTTTGCTAAGGATACTATAAGGTCCTTGTACATAAACACATCGGGTTGGTACCATTCCTGCTTCTGGATCACCTCGAACATCTGTAAGTTGAAGAAACCAATCATGAATCATCAACAACACAATGAACTAAAACGACACAGAACCATAAGAATATACGTATATGATCCATAATGGTCTAAAACTTAAATATACAACTACCCTAATGTCAGCTCCGTTCAGGCATTTCGTCGAACACTTCATGAGCACATGGGATCAAACTAAAGAAAAAATTCCGTAAAGACCCAGAAGAAATTGTCACGTAAAGAACTCACCTTGATGGCTAAGGCAGTCTCTTCTTGTCGTTCAAGCTCACCGATAACAGCTAACATGTCTAATTTCAACAATCTGAAAACATGGGTTTTTATAAACTTCTGCAGCTTCTCGTCGTCGTCTTTCAATCTCTTGAGACCCAGAATCACGAAAAGGGCTTCTTTTCCGATCAGTTTCTTCCCTCTCCAAAGAGGACCTCTTGGTCTCCCGTCATGGAACCGAGAAACAAAGACAGTGAAGGGTTTCGGCGGAATTGGGTGGAGTAGCGTTTTGGGTTTTAGATTCGAGAATGAAATTCGATGAATTGACGGATTTCTAGTGAGATTTTGGAAGAAAATCGAAGCGAAAGTTGGTAATTTTCGCGAGAAGACGCGAATTGCTGTCATCTCTCAAAGGTGTGAACTTTGAATCGTCGCGTCTCCTTTGTATCACATGAACACAAAACACACAACGGTAGTGAAACGTACCAAAACGGCAGCGTTTTAAGATGCTTCATTTGTTAAAACGTCTGCGTTTTAATCAATCATAAATTTATAGAGATATATGAACTGATTTTGACTGAAAAACGGTCTATTTCTCCACGAGAACTATCGCATCACGATAGATAGAGCCCAAAGTATGACCCCGATCTATATATCTCTGAAACAAAAGTTCTATACCTATTTCTCCCCGACACAAAAGTTCTGTATCTAAATCTCTCCGAATTAATAGTTCTAGATCTATTAAACCATAATCCTGGGTTTCGTTGGTTTATTTTATATTTAACCAATTATTGAAAAACTAAACCCAATTAAACCAAAGAAAACCAGATTTTCTTAATATCTCTCTTCCCAGAGAATTGCACACAGAGAGTAAGATCGGGGCATTGGCTGAGAAGGAAACCCCACCAATTGTACTTCAATTCGCTCCATTGAACAGTTCCGTCTACGAAGGTTTCTGGTATAGCTTCTCGTCTTTGAAACTTGATAAACTTGGAATCGATGATTCTCCGATTCCAATCACCGGTAAACACACAAAAACATCAATTTTAACAGAAATTCAAAGATTATATGCATTAACATTGATTAATTTTCTGGGCAAGTTCTCATGATCCGTTTATGCTCGAGAAACAAAAAAAAAGTTGAGAACTCTGGTTTTATTGGAGGAAGAAGCCATTGGAGGAAAGATCAAGACTTTGCAAAGCTGGGAGAGTTATACTTCTTTGGATTTCGCCGGAGAGATCATTAGAACTCAAATCAAGAGCCTATAGATTCACCAAGTTGAAAATCGAAACAGGGATCGAGTCTTTGATGAAATTCTGAGACCGATTAAGAACCCTAATCTCAACTAGCTTCTTGAGAGATTCAGTCAATTTCTCCGACAACTATTTGTTCATGAGCTCCAATTTAGTAACCCTTCCGGTGTCTGGATTGATAGAGTTTAAATTGGGATTGCAGGTGATTCCGGTCAAATTGGTTGCAGCAATCAATAGAAGAAAAATTGATTCACCCACCGGGTTTTTGTTTGTGATTGGCTATGAAGTCACGTAAGGCATCGAAGTCATACTTTTTTGAAAGGGTAAAAGGAAGAAAGTTTGAGAAGAAGAAGCATTAGAATTAAGAATTCAACAAAAATCTTTGACAAATCTGAGAGAATCGTGATGGGTTTTATGATTCTCACCATTTTAGAAGAAAGATGAAGCAAAAGAGAGAGAGAAAGGCGTGAGAGAGAGGAAGGAGATAATGTATTTGAGAAATTTGGTTTTCTCTGGTTTAATTGGGTTTAATTTTTGTAATAATCGGTTAAATATAAAATTGGGTTTAATTTTTGTAATAATCGGTTAAATATAAAATAAACCGAAGAAACCCAGGATTATGGTTTAATAGATCTAGAACTATTAATTCGGGGAGATTTAGATACAGAACTTTTGTGTCGGGGAGAAATAGGTATAGAACTTTTGTTTCAGAGATATATAGATCGGGGTCATACTTTGGGCTCTATCTATCGTGATGCAATAGTTCTCGTGGGAAAATAGACCGTTTTTCCGATTTTGACACATTAGTTTGTAGCATAAATAACGATTAGATTAAATGTGCCGATGCAAGTTTGTCAGCTTCGGGACCTTGGCCTGAAACCGTAACGGTGAAAGACCTCATCTGGTACATAGATTTGAGTGACAAGAAATCTGGAACAACCCTGATGGTGAGTTCTGATCCGAGTACTTGGGCTTTGTAAGTAGACTTTGCCATACCAACGTTTGTGACTGTTCTACGAAAATTCAGGTTGAATGGTTTTGTTTCCCGGACTTTAACCGTCATGGAAGGGTAGTTGAGGTTTATTGCTAATGATTGGCTCTGTTCTTCACTGCAACTGCGGTTTTCACCCGAAATGAGTCTTAAACTCTTTGCCGTGTAGTTCATAGACCAGTCGGCTATCGGATTGACGTGGCCAGCTCCATAAGCAAACTCGGCCATATGATCAAACGGAGAAGTAGATGTATTCATTGGCCTAGCTTCAAGAAACACCAAAAAAACAGAGTATGATAAAACCTTTCTTGCAATACAAGAACGTTATGTTTCCAATAAAAAAATATGCAGAATATTCAGAAAACAAGAGTAAACCTTGTTTTACTTACCGGTACTCATGATGGCGGATTGGATCATGGAAGGAGACCGCCGTGGGTGAAACGTTTTTAGGTAGGCGGCTACACAAGACATTGAAGTTCCGCCTAAAACGGAGTAGTTTACACGCCTTGTGTCTGATTGGCTCGGTGGGGCATCAAGAGAATAAACAGCGAGGATCTTGGTTCTACCTTCAAAAGATCGGGAATAATAGTGTTTGGACCCTGAGAAGAGTAAGACGCAATGATGGTAGCTGTCTGGTTAAAGACCGTCTCATTTTTCGTAATAGATGCTTTCAGGTTTCTGGCCAAAAAAAATCTAGCTTTAAGATGGACAATTTGTGAGAATTATATATAATAAGACAAAGAGAAGTGCTTACTCTGTCGAGTTCATATATGAGAGGACAATGTTATAGTCGTCTCCGATAGAAGAGAGACTGGAAAAGAGAAGATACTTGCCACGTCTGCATGGCGGCTCCTAACAATGGATGCGATGGCTCCCATAACTTGAGCTTCTTTGGGATTTTGCGGGGAATCGCATAACACAATCTTTCCTTTTACACGTTTACTGTCTAAACACCCTGGTGAGCAAAACCTGAAACCACAAAGACCATTTGAACCCACTATGTGAAGTGTAAATAGATACGAAGATATATGTTTCTTGGGATGGAAGTTACCCGGTGGAAGCAGCATCGCACCTACTTGAAGACGATCCTCCGTATACTAGAGGATACTTTATTCCGTTCAGATGAAAATTTACCGATCTTCCCTGTTTTCCAGTAACCATGTAAGAGAAAGGACAAGATATGTACGAATATGATGGCTGTCTTAACAAAAACAAGTTTCTTGGTACTCACGACAATTGTCTTGCCATCTCCGAGAACAACTTTGGTGACAAACGCCCGGTTTGTATTACTAGCAGCGATAGTGAAGATCCACGGAGAAGTGCTAGAGACGGTGCTAGGTTGTGGACCACTGTTTCCTGCGGAATTCACTATGAGGATTCCCTTGGCCATGACATGGAAAGCCCCGATGGCGATCGGGTCCTCCTCGAATGGCAAACCTACCATCGTACCAATTGAGATGCTGATGAGGTCTACGTTGTCCGCTATCGCATCATCAAATGCAGATAGAATACTGTCATACCTACACCTTTGGAAATAGTAAAATCGCATCATCAAAGTCCATGATGAATTGCAGTTATAGCTGCCAAATTTTCTCAATTGCCCTTAACAATGGACGCTAAGGCTCCCTTAGAGTAAATTTCATCGGGTTACGGCTCGGAATCGCATAACACAATTTTTCTTTTACTGTCTAGACTCTAGACAACCTGGCGTGCGGAACCTAAGCAAAACATAAACAAATAACGAAAAATAGATAAAGCAAAACATATGTAAAAAAATATTTATGACTTTGGTGAGTTCAACCTTGGCAAAAATTTGTTTTTTTTTCTGTTAAAATATTAATGCATATTTTTCTATGTATTTGAAGTTTGAACTTTGAAGGCATTTACTCAAAAATAATGTTGAATCCGAATCAAATGCGTATTTCAAATATAAATGAATAATATCTTATTTAATAATTAAGAAATTTAAATGTATATACAATGCCTAATTCCAATATTACGCTATGGTTCCTCCTCGGTAGTGAACTTCCAAAAAATAACCGTTTTAAGATGCTGGTCATCCAGATGGTTTAAGCTTTGATCATTTTCCACATTAAATCAAAACTCTCACGCCCATTTTCAAATAGAAACCAAACAACAAGGTTTTAATTAGGACAAGCTAATAATCTTCTGCTTGAAATAGTAAGCGTGAAAGACTTCTCTTCTTGCATCGACTTCAGAGACAAGACATCTGGAATAATCTTGGCGCTGAGTTTTGATCTGACTAATATTCGCTTTGTAGATAGTGTTAGGCATGCCAACGTTGTGCCTGTTATATGAAAATTTAATTTGAATGGTTGTATATTTAACTCCATTTAAGTTTATACCCCATTTAACCACCTAATTTACATTACATTGACCCATTTAGATCTATTTAATATTGTTTTGCTTTGAAATATATAGTATAACTAATAACTATTTAATTGATTATTTAAAATTTAATACTATTAATTATTTCAATAAATTTAAATAATAAACAATATGAAAATAATATAATTGTACTTACTCCCTCAGTTTTATAAAGAGTGTCACTTTGACATTTTTTTCTTGTTACAAAAAGAGTTTTGTTTTAGAATTTCAAGACTAATTTCGACAAACTATTTCAGTTATAACCTCAAAAAAAATTTATCAAACAATAATAAATATAAGTTATGATAAAATCTCAAGCCATTTTCTACACAATATTAATTGTTTCTCTTCGTAATCTCTATTACATTACCTTGAACGTCATTGACATTCATTATTCTCTTATTTTATTTGTAAAATGGAACTAGATCTGTTAAAAACAAGTAAGGGTCACTTTTTAGTTGTTATGGATAAACATATGACTAAAAGTTCTATTCAAAATTTGCAAGTTTCAGAACAGAAAAAACAGGTCGAAGCATGGAAGACTAGTGCATGGTGGATTTAAAAAAAAAATTGATTGCCACTACTAATTTTGGCTCTATTTTCTCTATAGTTATTTAACATAAAAACTGAAATAGATTTACCTCCAAAAATAAATGTCGATTGTGGAAATGCTTTGATCTTAGAAATGCATTTAATTATCACAATGACTATTGACTAAATTAAGGAGAAGTCTAAGAGAGAAACGATTATATAGCAACTTATTTATAATTACATCAAAATAAATAATTGTAAATACATAAATAGTTTAAGGGTATAAAAGAGTTTTAACTTTTTTTCTTAATTTGTGTGAAGAATGCCAAAGTGACACTTTTTGTGAAAGAGAGGGAGTATTATACTCTATGTGTCCCAAATTATAAGACGTTTTTGTTAAAAGCACAAAGATTAAGGAGTAATAAATGTTTATTATTTATAAAAATTTAACCAAAAGAAAAAAAAGATTACAGAATTCAAAAGGTCATAAATAAATTAAATAACCATAAATTATACATAAAAATATGAGAAAGTCTTATGTTGTGGAACAAGAAAAACATGCTAAAACATCTTATAATTTGGGAGAGATGGAGTATAGTTTTGTGAGTCACATGGTTATCAGTGAATAAAATGACAGGTTGTTTTATAAGGCGACCAAACCTTAACACCATTTTCACAATTCTGACTATACACTTTTACAAAGTTTAGATTAAATTTCAACTAATAGCTACATCAATAATCATTATTGTCTTCCCTCTTGCATATATGGGAACTAAAATTTAGGAAATGCTCTTACAACGTAATTCTCTGGAATGCGTAAGGTAGAAAACATTCTACTCTGGGTATTTTAGACTCCATAAGGTAGAATTTGTATTTTTCTTTTTCATGAATTAATTAAGGTAAAATAAGTTATCTTGTTCACACTAAAAAAAATAAGTCATAAATCTCCTAAACCCAACAAGATTCAATTTTTATGGATGAATAGTAATGAAAGCACGCTTTATTGATCACTGAGAAGAGAGTGTAAAAAACAATAGGGATATACAAAACTCAAACCATAATTATTAGCGTCACGCCGTCACATATACCTAATTAAGGAGAAGACGAATCGTAAAATTTTAAGAGTAGAACAAAAATACTATGAATGTGATTCTATTATCCTTTTTTAAAAGTAAACAAGTAGTAATATATTTGATCATTCTCCAAATTAAATTAAAACTCTCATGACCATTTTGAAATTTAGAACCAACAAGGTTTTAATTGGAACAGGCAAATAACTTTAAAAAAAAAAAAACAGGCAAATAATTAGATTGATGTTATAAGTTATAACTAAAATGAGTGACGGAACCAGAAACATCAAAACCAACAAACAAGGGTTTAAAAGTAATAATTGACGATAACAGATAGAAACAGTAACTGGTTCTGACTCATCAGTTCTTAGCATAAACAACAATGGGGCTTCTCACAAAGTGGACACCATCAGACCAGATCAGCTGTGCGGACACAAGCTTTTTAGCTTTGGGAACGGCGCCTGAAACGGTTACCGTGAAGGACTTCTTCTCATACAATGACCAAAAAGACAAGACGTCTGGGATAACCTTGACTTTGAGTTTAGATCCAACTACCTTTGCTTTGTATGTAGCGTTAGGCCTACCGACGTTAGTGACTGTTCTACGGAAAGTTACTTTCAACGGTTTTGCCGCCGATACTTGAGCAGTCATCGAAGGATAGTTTAAGTTTCGGGGTAGCGATTTAGTCTGTTCTTTGGTGCAACTGCTGCTATCACCGGAGATGAGCCTTAATTTCTTTCCAGTGTAGTTCAAGCCGCAAAGAAAGGCGATGTGGTCGGATTTATTAGCTTCATAGACTAGTCCAGGATGAATTACAGCTATGGGATCGACATGGCCCGCTCCGTAAGAAAACTCGGCCAACTCGTTAAACGGAGAAGTAGATGCATTCATTGGCCACGCTACAAGAAACACCAAAAAAACAGAGTATTATAAGTTTCCTTGCAATACAAGAAAGTTATGTTGTGAGTGAAAAAAAAGAGTATGCTTAAAACAGAGTGGATTTGTTTTTGCTTACCGGTAGTCATGATGGCGGATTGGATCATGGAAGGAGACCAGCGTGGGTGAAACGTTTTTAGGTAGGCGGCTACACCAGCAACGTGGGGACAAGACATTGAGGTTCCGCTAAGAACTGCGTACTTTACATGTCTTGTATCTGATACGCTTGGTGGGGCATAAGGAGAATAAGCAGCAAGAATCTCTGATCCCGGCGCTGTTATATCCGGCTATAATACAAATCACATTCAATCCAACGCAGAACTGTTAGAGTGACCAATACGAGTAATTTAAATTCTCCTTTTCTGTATATACCTTCAAAATATCATGAATGATTGGGTTTGGGCCACGAGAAGAGTAGGAAGCCACGACAGGAGCTCTCTGGTTAAAGATTGTCTCACTTCTCAGAACAGCTGCTTTGGGGTTTCTAGCCAAGACAAAAATGAGCTTTAAGATGGGAGTTTTTGTAAGAAATATAATGAAACAGAGATATAGGCTAACTACTTTGTGGAGTTCATATATGAGAGGACAATGTTATAGTCGTCTTCCGATAGAAGAGAGACTGGAAAAGAGAAGATACTTGTCACGTCTTCACTGCGGCTACTAACAATGGATGCGACGGCTCCCATAGCTTGAGCTTCTTCGGGATTTTGTGGGGAATCACATAACACAATCTTTCCTTTCACACGTTTACTGTCTAGACACCCTGGTGAGCAAAACCTGAAACCGAAATTACCCTTTAAACCCTCATGTGAAGAGCAAAATTGATACGAAAATAATGTTTTTTGGGATGGAAGTTACCTGGCTGCAGCAGCATCACAACTACTTGAAGCTGATTTTCCGTATACTAGAGGGTACTTCCTTCCGTTTAGATCAAACGAATTTACCGATCTTCCCTGTTTATCAACAAGCAGTAATGTTAAAAGAGGACAAGATATGTATGATAATGTGTTGTCATAAAGGAACGAAGATATGTCCCTTGGTACTTACCACAATTGTCTTGCCGTTTCCGAGAAAAACTTTGGTGACAAATGCACGGTTAGTATTACTAGCAGCAACAGTGAAGATCCACGGCGCAATGCTCACGACCGTGCTACGTTCTGGACCATTGTTTCCTGCGCTAGCCACAGTGAGGATTCCCTCGGCCATGGCATGGAAAGCCCCGATCGCGAGGGTGTCCACCTCAAATGGACCAACCTCATCCGCACCGATGGATATGGTAATTAGGTCCACCTTATCCGCTATGGCATCATCAAATGCGGCTAGAATTCCTTCAGCTGTGCACCTATTGACGCCAACGTCACATACTTTATAAACCGCTATTCTTGCAGCTGGAACGCCACCTCTCGCAGTTCCATTACCGAGCCCGTAAAAGCTCACATGCTTCACAGCGTTTCCAGCCGCCGTGGATGCACAGTGCGAGCCATGTCCCGTGTTGTCCATGGCTGACGCCGGAAACCCCACCAGTTCGGGTGTGTAGTACCGTGCTCCAATAAGCTTGCTGTATACAACCGAAAGATCATTCACATTTTTTAAACTAAGCAATTGAAAAATTCTTACTCAATTTAATTGTATGATCAAATTTAAAAGGGTTTTATACTTGTTGCAAGTGAAGTTTTCGCCGCCTTCGCAAACACCTTTCCATTTTTTAGGAGGAGGACCAAAGCCTTTGCCGCTGAAGCTGTCCGATTCAGGGTAGATTCCACTGTCAATGACACCGATGATTGTATCGCTCTCTATGAGAGAGTTTCGCTTTGTACGTTTGCCTTCCTTGAGACCCATGAAATTCCACGAGGTTGTTGTTTGGGGCTTTAGTTTCTTGCTAGGAAACACAGATACAACTTCGTCCATATCTATGAAAATGAATAAGAAGTATAGGAAAACAATTAAATCATATAGAGTTGATTAATTGCATAGAGAAGAATAGTAATTTTTGAGTCTCGCTAAATTTTGGAAATTTAGGGTCTAACAGTCCGTTTAGTAATACACTTACTTGCTAGTATCGCTCTTTCTGATTCAGTTAGCCTGGCTGCGAATCCGTTGAAACTCCTTTTATAATTCCTAACCAAACGATCCTTGATCGAACTACAAAAAAATATATACATTTGTTAGAGGATTTATGAAATCTTGATCGATATTGACATGAAACCATATACAAATAATCACATTAGCACTGATCTACAAAATTGCACCTCTCTCCGATGACATCTTGAAGAATACTAGTGTGATGGGACATTGGCATGTAGTCAACACGAGCAGGAAGTGCACCCATGTATACTATATACACCTACAAGTATAATCATCATCATAGTTATGGTTAGTCATTAGTCATATAATTAGAACCATGAAAACATCATCATATGTGCAATTACCTGTTTGTCTTGATCATCTTTGTCTGGTGAAGGAAAACTCACAAGAAGCAAGGCAAAGATACATGAGAGGAGACAATAGGAGACAGCAGGTTTTGCCATTTTTTTAATTGATTCAATTATAATCAAATTTCATAAGATTGTGATAATGAAACGATTATTTATAGGGAGAGATTATGTACATGGTCTAAGAACGCAATCCAAGTCCCTTAGGATTTGTTCCTCTAGTTATAATTATATTAATGGTTTTGAATGGACCGTTTAATTTGCTACCGTTTCTCGGTCTTACTAATCCTTGCATCATCTTTTTTTTTTGTATTGTTTTTCATGAATATAGAAAAAATATTAAATAGAAAGAACCTCCTTTGACTTGATATTTATTCTCGTTGACAAAGAAAAGACTTGATAAATAAATAACCTCCTTTGACTTGATATTAATTCTCATTTATAAATAAAAACTGTTTATTCTTCTTAACAACCACTAAAATCGACTAACCTCACTAGAAATGGATTTTTTTATTAAGAAAACAATTATATAGATTATTCTCCAAATTTAATCAAAACTCTCATGACCATTTTGGAATTTAGAACCAACAAGGTTTTTATTAGAACAGGCAAATAATTAGATTTCATGTTTATAACTAAAATGGGAGGAGGAAGCACAAACAAAAAAAAACAACAAAGATATAGCATGAACAAATAGAAACATTAACTGGTTCTGACTAATCAGTTCGTAGCATAAACAACAATGGGGCTTCTCACAAAGTGGACACCATCAGACCAGATCAGCTGTGCCGACACAAGCTTTTCAGCTTTGGGACCCGCACCTGAAACGGTTACCGTGAAGGACTTTTTCTCGTACAATGACTTTAGAGACAAGACATCTGGAATAACCTTGACTTTGAGCTTAGATCCGACTACCTTTGCTTTGTATGTAGCGTTAGGCCTACCGACGTTAGTGACTGTTCTACGGAAAGTCACTTTGAACGGTTTTGCTGCCGATACTTGAGCAGTCATCGAAGGATAGTTTAAGTTTCGGGGTAGCGATTTGGTCTGTTCTTTAGTGCAACTGCTGTTATCACCGGAGATGAGTCTTAAGTTCTTTCCGTTGTAGTTCAAGCCACAGAGAAAGGCGATGTGGTCAGATTTATTAGCTTCATAGACTAGTCCAGGATGAATTGCAGTTATTGGATCGACATGGCCAGCTCCGTAAGCAAACTCGGCCAACTCGTTAAACGGAGAAGTTGATGCATTCATCGGCCAAGCTACAAGAAACACCAAATACAGAGTATTATAAGTTTTCTTGCAAAACAAGAAAGTTATGTTGTGAGTGGATTTATTTTTACTTACCGGTAGTCATGATGGCGGATTGGATCATGGAAGGAGACCAGCGTGGGTGAAATGATTTTAGGTAGGCAGCTACACCAGCAACATGCGGACAAGACATTGAAGTTCCGGTCTCAACGGAGTACTTTACACGTCTTGTATCTGATTTGCTTGGTGGGGCATCAGGAGAATAAGCAGCTAGGATCTCTGATCCTGGCGCTGTTACATCCGGCTGCAATACAAATTCACTTTCAGTCAAACGCAGAACTGTTAAAATGACCGATACAGAGTAATTTAAATTTTCTCTTTTTCTATATATACCTTCAAAATGTCAGGAATGATTGTGTTTGGGCCACGGGAAGAGTAGGAAGCCACGACGGGAGCTCTCTGGTTAAAGATTGTCTCACTTTTTAGAACAGCCGCTTTGGGATTTCTGGCCAAGACAAAAAAAAGTTTGAATTTTAGGTTGGAGTATTTGTAATAAATATAATAAAACAGAGATAGGGGCTATTACTTGGTGGAGTTCATATACGAGAGAACAGTGTTATAGTCGTCTTCCGATAGAATAGAGACTGGAAAAGAGAAGATACTTGCCACGTCTGCACGGCGGCTCCTAGCAATGGATGCGACGGCTCCCATAGCTTGAGCTTCATCTGGATTTTGCGGGGAATCACACAACACAATCTTTCCTTTCACACGTTTACTATCTAGACACCCTGGTGAGCAAAACCTGAAACCGCAATTACACTTTAAACCCTCATATGAAGAGCAAAATAGATACAAAAAATAATGTTTCTTGGGATGGTAGTTACCCGGCAGAAGCAGCATCACAACTACTTGAAGCTGATTCTCCGTATACTAAAGGGTACTTCTTTCCGTTAAGATTAAACGAATTTACCGATCTTCCCTGTTTCGAAACAAGCAGTAATGTTACAAGAGGACAATATATGTACGATAATGTGTTGTCTTAAAGGAACAATGACCCGTCCACAATTGTCTTACCACAACTGTCTTGCCGTTTCCGAGAGCAACTTTGGTGACAAACGCACGGTTAGTATTACTAGCAGCAACAGTGAAGATCCACGGCGCAATGCTCGCGACCGTGCTAGGTTCAGGACCATTGTTTCCTGCGGAATTCACTATGAGGATTCCCTTGGCCATGGCATGGAAAGCCCCGATCGCGATCGGGTCCACCTCAAAAGGCGAACCTTTGTCCCCACCAATGGATATTGTAATGAGGTCCACCTTATCCGCTATGGCATCGTCAAATGCGGCTAGAATTCCGTCAGTTGTGCACCCATCGACACCAGGGTCACATACTTTATAAACCGCTATTCTTGCAGCTGGAACGCCACCTCTGGCTGTTCCATTACCAAGTCCATAAAAGCTCACGTGCTTCACAGCGTTCCCAGCCGCGGTGGATGCTGTGTGCGATCCATGTCCCATGTAGTCCCTCGCTGACTCAGGAAAACCCTCTAGTTTGGGTGTGTAGTATCGTGCTCCAATAAGCTTGCTATACATACAACAAACAAATCATTCACATTCATTCCAACTAAGCAATTGAAAAATCCTTACACAATCTTAATTGTATGATCGATTTAAAAGGGTTTTATACTTGTTGCAAGTAAAGTTTTTGCCGCCTTCGCAAACACCTCTCCATTTTTTAGGAGGAGGACCAAAGCCTTTGCCACTAAAACTGTCTGATTCCGGATAGATTCCACTGTCAATGACACCGATGATTGTATCGCTCTCTATGATAGCGTTTCGCTTCGTTCTTTTGCCTTCCTTGAGGCCCATGAAATTCCATGACGTTGTTGTTTGGAGCTTTAGTTTCTTGTTAGGAAACACAGACACAACTTCGTCCATACCTAAGAAATTGAATATTAAGAAATAGCAAAACAATTACAACAAATAGAGTTAATTAATTATTTCATAGAGAAGAAATGTAATTTGAGATTTGATAAAGTATTTTGAAAACTTTCGGGTCGGATAATCCATTTAATAGTTCACTTACTAGCTAGTATCTCTCTTTCGGATTCGGTTAGCCAGGCCGCAAATCCGTTGAAACTCCTTTTATAGTTCCTAACCAAACGATCCTCGATCGAACTACAAATAGGAAATACATTTGTTAGAGGGTCCATGGATTTTAGTTGATAGACATGAAACCATATTCCATATATACAAATAATCACATTAATATCTATAAAATCGAATAAATTCAGTGCACCTCTCTCCGGTGACATCTTGAAGAATACTAGTGTGATGGGACATTGGCATGTAGTCAACACGAGCAGGAAGTGCACCCATGTATACTATATACACCTACAAGTATCATAATCATCATAGTTATGGTTAGTCATTAGTCATATAATTAGAACCATGAAATGATTATAATTATAATCAATAACAAAGAATGATTTGTGCAATTACCTGTTTGTCTTGATCATCTTTCTCCGCTGAAGCGAAACTCACAAAAAGCAAGGCAAATATACATGAGAGGAGACAATAGGAGACAACAGGTTTTGCCATTTTTTTTTATTGATTTAGGTATAATCAAATTTTATAAGATTGTGAGAATGAAACGATTATTTATAGGGAGAGATTATGTGCATGGTCTAAGAACGCAATCTAAGTCCTCAATCAAAGTCCTTTAAGATTTGTTTCTCTAATTATTATTGTATTAATGACAGTATAATGTATTTTCCATATTTATGGGTTTGAATGGAATGTTTAATTAGCTACCGTTTCTTGTTCTACTAATCCTTGCATCATTTTTTTTAATTGTCTTGTTGTTCATGCATATAGAAAAAAAAAATAATAAATAGAAAAAACCTCCTTTGACTTGATATTTATTCTTGTTGACCAGAGCCGGACCAATGAATTTTGGGGTCCCATTAGAATTAATAAAAAAATAACATCATAATTTTTATAATATTAAAAATTATAAAGTAAAAATAATCAATTTAAACAAAACTATTATTTAAAAAAACATATTACAATTATATCCTTTAAAAAAATAATAATAACTTAAATCTTATGAAAAATAATATTTTTATTGGTTTTTTTTCAAAAATATTCATCAAACTTGCTATTTTTTTCATATTTACAACAATTTATATATATGTATAACTAAAAAAACATTTACGTGGGGCCCCATTTGCTCAAATTATATATATATGAAATGTTTCATCACCATGTGCTCAAGTCCGGCTCTGTCGTTGACAAAAGAAAAGATTGACTAACCATTAGATGTTGGTACAAACCAACGTCCCACATCAGAAGTTTAGAAAGGAAGTTTTTAATATATAAACCAAGTCCAACTCCAACTAGTATGAGGCCTTTTGGAAAGGAGTCCAATAACAAATCCGTGCGGGCTTGAGCATGTAGGTCTAAAGCGGACAATATCATACTAATAAGGGAGTTGGATTGGGCTTGGAAAGTCCAATAAATGGTATCAGAGCCTAGGTCGAAAAAGTGGACCTAGGAGAGTGGGCTTGGACCTATGATCGGTGTGGGAGAAGCCCTCAAATGTTACACGATAAGAAGGTGTGTCAAAAATTTCGCAAATAAGAGAGTGCCGAGTTAGGGTGCCAAGGTTTCTCTGAAGAGGAGGCCCAATGTTCGTGGTCCGTGGTTTGAAGGGAAGATTGTTGGGTATAAACCAACGTCCCACATCGGAAGTTTAGAAAAGAAGTTTCTAATATATAAACCAAGTCCACCTCCAACTAGTATGAAACCTTTTGGAAAAAAGCCCAATAACAAATCCGTATGGGCTTGAACATGTAGGCCCAAAGCAGACAATATCATATTAATGGAGAGTTTGAATGGGCTTATAAAGCCCAATACTAGAAATTGATTTTTTGTAATTTAATTATATTAAGACTAGAAATGAGTATTTAGGCAATTCATAATTATGGGAAGTTGGGAATGTATATTCTGAATTCGGTTTATTAATTATGGCAGCCTA